TGCTGCTATGCAGATAGACAGCTGACTCTGAACCTGATGTATTGCTCACTGCAAACCCATGTAGGTACCTCCCGTCGACAAATGTCATACCGACAGATGGTATGTCTTAGTCGTACATGTTTAAGTATTTACAATTCCGATTAGTTTCGCCATCCTCCATCGTTGTTCGAATAAGTTACGTTCACCGTCATTCGTACACCACTACTCTACACACAATCCTCATTCAGTGGCCCCCATACCTCTCACTCCACGTGCCTGTTCTGCTTCTCCCTTTCTGCCCTGTTGGGGCGGTTACGCTTCCTCTTCCTGTTCGTCGTAGTTTGTGCCACATCCGCGGCTGCGTCACCGCCGTCCGTCGCCCGCGTGCCGTCGTCATGCTCGTTGTCCCCCGCAGCGTCATCGTCGCGCTCGGTGCGCGTTGACAGCGGCTCGTCGTCGCTGCCCACAGCATCGTCGGCATCAGCCGCGTCGTCGTCGGCAGCGCTGTCAACAAGCCAAGTCAAGTCAAGTCTGCCATCGGACTTGACTTGACTTGACGAATTTGAGCTGGACTTGACTTGATCAGCCCCCGACTTGACTTGACTTGGAAGACTTGCCAAGAAAGAGCTCGGATACGGTTATTCCAAACCCGAAATAGATACAAGTACAAGATGGGGCCTCCAAAACTGTCATGAGGCCACAACGCTCCCAAATAGTTCCCCACGCGCCCAATTTCGTACACATTGAAGTTTTGATAACGTATTGTCGCTAAGGGAGTGTCGTTGTGACCCTATCGCGAGCTTTGCGAGGCTGAAGGTCCGCTCACATTCCGTTGCACAGGGAGGTATTGAAAGTATTTCGAGCGCCATTCTCGCGAGGCGTGGGTATTCGTCTGTCCGGGCCAGCCACCATTGGGCTGGGTCGCCAACGGGGTGTACAGGTCCCCGTAAGTACTCCCCAACCTCATCCACAATACCGCTGGCAACTGGGGCATCGTAGAAGCTATCTTCAAAGCCAGGTACTTGCTCTGGGGTGCATGGGCGTGCTAGGGGCTCGACTGCTGGGTAGTACGTATCAAAGTAAGCCACAAACCGCCGCTGGATGTCTAATATCCTCTGGTCGTTGCCTTCGTAGAATAGCCTCACTCACTTCATCCTGCGGCCCGGGTGCAAAATAAGAGCTGCCCAATAAGCAGGGGTCTCGTCAAGCATCTTCAGATACTTCTCGAGCTTGTCAATGGCGTATTGAAGGCTGGATTGAAGACTCGAGAAGGAAGGCACCTCGAGATCATCGTGAAGAGGATTCCCAAGCTCGATACAGAGGCCCTGCTGCCTAGGAGCGGTAACTGGGTCGCGGAGCCCGATCCCGGGGAGGTCGACTTCGTAATCCGCAAACCGGGCAGGCACGCGACGAATCCGGCGCGGGTGTTGCTGTGCCGTAGCCGGTCTAGGAGGCGAGAATGCCGGGAGCTGACTCGCGGGCCGCTCGTTGTTGGGCGGAAATACAGAGCTATCGAAGCCTCCCGAACGCTCAAACTCCGCGCTGTATCCTCGGTGTAGATGTTTGAGATCCCGGTGAAGGCTGAAGATGTCGGTGACAACGTCACAAAGATTGGGCTTCCTTCCCTCGAACTTTTTCGTGATAACCTTGAACGGGGCCAACAGAGCTTTGAATCAAAGCCTTTGATCTCTGTCAGAACTGCCCAATCCTCGGAAGACAGTACAGCTTCGTCGCTGAGATCCCCTAAACGATTATACCGGGCGCTGAACTTGGTGAGCGGATCGCGAAGAATGAGGGCGCGCTCAACCATATGGTATAACTACCGAGTGCCAGCGGGTATCGTTGTCAGCCTTCAGCCGAAGGTTTCGAATTGTAGGGTCAACGAGAATAGCGCCAATTTCTTCTCCTTTAGCCTCGGTGAGCTTGCCTATGGAGAGAACATCAAATCAGCACTTGATATAATGTCTTATTGGGGGAGAGAGGGCTATTATTACCTTCTTTACAGTCGTCGAAAGCGTCCCTGCGCTGGGGCGTACGGCGGGCGAAGTGTACAAGGTAGTATAGCTTACCCACTGGCCCAGTTTCTCGCCATGCGTTGAGAAGCTCCCTCTCCTGTTCCGCTTCCTCTTCTTGGTGGTTCGAGCTTGCAAGAGCTCATCAATCGCCGGCGACGATCTCTTGCCCGCAGTGTTTGCAGGTAGAAGCTCGCCGTCTTTCGTAATACCGTGCTTTTGCCGGAGGTGTTTGGCTGGCGAAGTTGTTGCCTCCGTGTCAAAGATGTTGTAGCACTTGTGGCAAGCCCAGAATTTGCCGTCCGTGGAGGTCGAGTCACCTTCCGTGAGCCGTAGAAGCAGTGTGCCGTGCGCATTGACCCAGGAAGGTCCATCCTTCAGCTTGAAGTGCGCGCGGAGGTGGTAAAACCGTTTGTCGGCACCCTGAATCTTTGGGTATAGCTTAGGATTGAGGGGGAGGTCGGTGATGGCTTTCGCATCGCGAATCTACTCGAGGCTCTTCTTGGTGCGTCCGGCACAGCCGAGCGCGTTAAACGCGTTGGACGCGTTGGGGGGCGAGGAGATATCGTAATTGATCTTCGGCGCAATGGAAATATCGTCAGAATCGGGAACTGCGGAGGCGGTATTGTCGGTAAGGGTGAAAGCCATTCCGGGAGGATTGCAGGCAGGAAGAGTGGATTTCGAGCGTTGTTCGAATACCAGTGAGCAACTCCGTTGATCGTGTGTATCAACCTCGCCAAGAGACAGGCTCGCAGGAGTTTCGGGCTGAAAAAGTGGGTAAAACGCTTCCTTTTGGGAAGCCTTAGCAAGCACACCACCACCACTATCAAGCACACCGCTATTCCTGACTGGGAAAAGCGAATATGTCACACTGCAGCAGTACAAACTAAATTCCTTTGACAGCTGCCAGGCCAGCCGCAGCCCGCCACAGTGCCAGCAGCAACCACAACAGCATCAACCGAACAAATCGTATATAACGCAATTCTGCTGTATTTCTGCTGTTCTGAAATATGCTAACGATTCATCAAAGCATCAGCCGCGTCTGCCGCCTGCTGGCTAATTCCCCAAAGCAACAGCATCTTCCTGATCCTCGCGGGCAGCTACTTCGGCTGCCGCTAGCGCCCAATCATGGTCATCTTCAATGTCGGGATCCAGGGCATCTAGGCCATCGATGAATCGACCGGAGGCCCGCGGTGCCGCTGTGCCGGGTTCGTACGAGTCTCTCCCAACCTGGCGCAGGCGCTGCAGACCGAGTTTTGTACTTGTAACCATGGAATTGGCTGTGGCGCCTTTGACCGAGGTCATGGCGACCACAATACAGTCCTCAATGCGGTCCTCAACGGAAGTCTGCGTTTGGGCGCTCCACTCGGCATCACGGCGCCGACCCCGAAGTCCCTGCTGAACTTGCTCTATCCTGCTGCTGCCCTCAATAGCTCGCCCCTGCCCTAATCCCAATGCTGCTGGCGCTGTTGATGGCGGCGGCGCCGCTGGCCCGAATCGCTTCGTTGAGGCCGCGCCGGCCTGCTGCTGCTGCTGCTGCTGCTGCTTCGGCGCCGGTACTGCCGTGGTTAGTTCGTCTTCGATGTTGTATTCGAATGCTGACGGCAGCCGCTTGGTGCTGTTGACGCCAGCGCCCTTCTTCCTGGAAGCAGCAGAGGGAGTGGCAATTGCCCCAACAGGGCGGCCCTTGCCCTTCACCTGACGAGGATCCAACGGGATGTCTGGCATCGGCATAATCCCAACCACTTCAACATTGGGATTTCTACTGTCATCATCGCCAACATGCTGTTGTTCCTGCGGCCGCCACAACCACCAATGCTTGTGAATCTGCTGTATGGTCACTGGCTCGTCGCCAGTCAGATGTCGGTATAGAATATGCCGACAAGGGAGCCCGTGAGTGGCCTGGATTGTACAGGTACAGCTTGTAGTCAGGGGACCATTGTTTGCTGGAAGAGAGCTGACTTCATTCGCTAATAGCTGCAGAGCGGTCGGCGAGACTTGCCCACGAATCCAACTGAAGACAACACTTGTTAGGTCAACCCTGACCTTGTTGGTGGCTTGGGCATGTTCAATATCAAGGCTGGCGCGCTGTTGTTGCTAGAACAGCATTAGACGCCCGAATACGCTCTTGAGGTCAGCCCTAGAAGAAACAAGGTACTTCTTGATCGCAGCATGGGAGGATTCCACTGCTTGAGTAGTGGTGTGGCCCATGTGTGGTACTTGGTTAACCCAAAACGTGACCAACTTCTCCTGTAGGGCGTTAGCGACCGTCGACAACACCATAGGCACCCAAAGACCACGCTACCAACCTTCCAAGGCTCGATCCATGTTGCTACAGCGTAATCTACAGCTGCATCTGGATGCCGGCCCGGTGTTCTGAACTTGGCCAGGTTCTTGTTGAAGTCATCCTCTGTAACGGAAGCAAGGAGAGCATTCCATTCTTTCAGGAATGACTTAAAGGTCGGATGATAATTAGAATCAGGGTCTGAAACCATACCTGACAGGCTCAGCGGCAGCAGGCCGTTAATTGGAAGCGGAAAGTTAATGCTGTGGCAGTAACACTGCTGTGAAGATGGCTTTGGGGAAGAATTCAATTGCGCTGTTGGCCCACCTGGCAGCTGTCAAAGAATTTCGCTTGTACTGCTGCAGTGGGGCACACGCGCTTTTCTTAGTCAGGAATAGCGGTGTGCTTGATAGTTGCAACCCTGACCCTAACTAACTACAACCCTAACCCGTATATGGAACGGGCTGTGAGAGACGAGGGACATTTAGGCGAGGCGCGAGGGCACTGCCGATGAGACTCTATTCTGCTAATCACAAGATGGGGAGAAAAGGAAGAGAAGCTGGAAGAGCTCTCGCGATACAGGAGTTAAATGCCAGCGCGTGTGGCCACGTGCCCAACCAAGTGGAGCCACAGTGCACTCCGACGGCAGCTGCCGTCACACCTCTAAGGCACTTGCCAGGCGAGCCCTGGTGGCACGGCTACCTCTGGTGGTCTTCGTGATGCCCCCGCGCCGTGATCCTGGTGTTGATGCCCCTGCGCGCGCCGTTCCGCGCCGTGGTGCGCGCTGGGCCACAGCGGAAGTGCTGGGAGGCGTTAAGGATGGTGCTCCAGCAGTACTGCTAGCTCTGCTGCCACCCCTGCCTCCCTCTAGCGCCTTTACCCCTGACACGACGGCCTCGAGTACTTCCAGTGGCCACCACGATGGTGCTTCGCTGGGAGGGGGTTGCTGAAGGCTCCCTATCGTCGTTGTCGAGATTCACACGCTCCTACTGTGATGGTTCTCTTCGAATCGAGGGCGCTAGGCCGGACTGGCGCTGCGTTGACTGCTGAGGGAGCTGCGTAGCCAGCGGAGCAGTAGATCGAGGCGCCGATGGATCAGGGGCAAAGACCTCGGTGTTGCGCGGCCAGGTCGTCGAAGTGCTCGAGGTCATCTTCGTACGGCGCCATGGTTCCTGCGCAAATCGTCAGTTTCGGCGGAGATCTACGGCGTTCGAAAGCGTTTACTCACGCGATTCTAGAGTAGTAGCTGCTGGATCGCTGCAATTCCCGGCGGTGGTGCGCAATTGGTTCGAAGATTTGGTGTTGTGAGTGATTGTTGAAGAAACTTGGGAAAAAGACGTCATCGCGGCAGAATTAATGTGGGTTGCCTGCGCGATGTACCTTTTCTGGCGGAAATTGGCCGGGGTTAGGGTTATGTATGGGAAAACGTGTGGGTCTACGGTACGGGAGGACCTTTCCTACGGTACGGCGATACCTTCTCTAAGTTTTCAGAGGGTTATGGCGGTGTAGGGCTTCTGCCGCAGCTGGTCCACAATCTGGTTGGTTACATGTAGCCACTCTTGGTCTCTTCGGGTGTCATTCCGGCCAATGCATGAGGGTTCGTCTATTTCGATAATCCATTGCTCCGTTTCCTCATTACATCGTCGAGCGAGGTATAAGATCACGGGATCCCAGTTCATGATCTCATCCTCGCGCTGGGGCGGGGTTTTGGTAGCAAGTATTTCGATCTCTTCGGGTGTCATTCCGGTCTTGATGCAAGAATCCCCATTGTGTGATGAAGTTACTTAGAGAAAGTCCGTGCCAGGCCGCCCCACTTTGGTCCTCTGCAAATAGTCTGTGAGGCGCCTTGCACCTTTAAAAAGGGGTCCATTAAAGAGCCCGCAAATTTTATTAGAGGGACCGCTGCAAGTGGGTCCACAGTGCTCGTTCGACTTTCCTAAGTACAGCTACCAAATGGACGTCCGATCTCGACGCTATGTTAAACAACACCAACGGCCAAATCTCGTGATAATCAGAACGCCGTCGATTCCTGGGCATCCTGTGTAGCCTGCCGAGCCGTCGCCTCGGCCTCGGCCACCTTTTCATCGAATTTACCCTCGAAATTAGTAGGAATCAGATCAAACTCGGCCTCCTGATCATCAACAGACTCGAGCCGAGCCATCCACTGCCCGGACCGCCTTGGCATCGCGGTGCCGGCCTCGTAGGGATCATCCGCCGGTACAGCCGGCTTGTTCAGGCGCGCTGGTGCCGTGGAAGGCGGCGGCAGTGCCTCTCGTCGCTCCTCGGCCTCCGTGATCTCGTGGGCGCTAGGCAGTCGCTTGGTGGACTTGTCTGTGGCCACCAACCCGCGCGGGCGACCTTTACCTCGCACGACAGCGGGATCAAGCGGTCTCTGGGCGCGTGAAGGTGATGCCGAGAGTGAAGGTATCGCGGTGCGGTCCCAGCGCCAATACGGATCAAATTGGGCGATGCTGAGCGGCTCGGAGTTTCGGAGGCAGAGGAAAAGGGCGTGGCGGCAGGGCAGGCCGTGAGAGGTCGTGATACTGCAAGTGCAAGGCTCCGGCGGTCCTAGATCCCAACGGCCTGCACGAGGCTGCTTCTCGATAGCGGCGACCTCTTTTTCGCATGCGCGTAGGGCATGAGGCACTACTGCACTTTTGACGTCGCCGTAGAGTAGGTCGCTGAGCCCGAACGGCACCTTGTTCATCGCCTGGTTGCGTGCGAGGGCAATATCCGCTGCCTGATTGCGCCAATATGCCTTCAGCTTCCGGAAGACTGTGGCTAGATCGCCGCCGGCGCTGCTGATAAACCTCTTCATGCCCGCGTGCAGTGACTCAACGATCGAGGTAGTGCGGTTGCCGAAGTGCAATATTTTGTTGACCCACGCATCGACGAGGAGCTCTTTGTATGGGTCGAGCCACGTTTTCACGGCGTAATTGACCGCTCCTATAGGGTATCTCCCACTTTTGAAGCTCTGTATACGTGACTCGAAGAGCTCCTCGGTATCCGACGTAAGTATGGCGTTCCAATCTTTAAGGTATGCCGTAAACCTCTCGTTCCGCTTGATCGAGCCGTCGGGAAGGCGGGTAGCTGGTGGGAAGAACCGCTTACCTTTAGCTAGCACGTTCATATTAACGTGCCACCTGCAGAGGAGTCGAGGGACCAACGTGAAGGCTTCATGGCGTTTAAGCGCGTTGATTAAGGCCAACTCTCGGTCGGTGACGATCAGCTTTGGGAGAGGGAGGTCCTCTTCGGTCAAGAACTCTCGCAGCGCCTGCAACGCCCACGTATACTGTTCCTCCTTCTCTGCATTGATGAATACAGCCGCGATCGAGAACGACTTGCGTAAGGCCTGGATACCACAAAAGTTAAGGAGAGGGAGGCCAAAGCGGTTAGTCTTGTAGGTACAGTCGGCGACGATAACGTCGGGGGCGGTACGGAAGAGAGGGACCGCACTTCTAGGCGCAATAAATAGGCACTGCACTCGGCCACTCTCGTCGCGTAGATCTCGGTAGAAGTACTCGGTCTCGTCATCGAGTTGCTATTGGATACCCTTTTAATTAGCCGTGAAAACCATGAAATCGGATAGCCGCATGATGCTTACCTCGTAGAGCCACTGGATCGGCGTACGACCATTGAGCTCTTCCCGGCGGCATGCATGCAACAGGTTGGCGAGGTCCTGGTAGCTGAACTCCACGGCGTCTCCGGCCTCGCGCAAATTGGCCATGATCTGCGATGGCCGCGTACCTGCTCGCCAGTCTGTAACTATCTTGGCCTTGTAGGAGGCAAGGCTACGCTGCCTGAAGGAGGAGAAGGTCGATGGATCGAGGAGGTCGTGGTTGTGCTCAAGATCGGTGCCGTTACGCGTGCGCACTGGATCCAGCTTCTAGCCGGCCCCGGGCACACGCTTGAGGTTGATCTTGTAACCGCAAGCCGTCATCTGGGAGCTCGTTTTGCGTCTCTTGGTGGTGTGAATAACTTCGTCGTTCTTTGGTGCGTGCGACCGGCCTTTGGCGCACCGGTAGTTGACCCGGGTCACCTCCTCGGCCGCAGCGCCGCGAGGGAATCGCTCTTTGACGGCTAGATCAAAGCCCAAGGCGTGGGCCTGCGCCTTCAGGCCGGCTTCTGCCTCCTTGAGAGAGCCGTAGGAGGCCGAGAAATCCATGGCGGTGGTGGTGCAGGCAGCCGGCCGTTGCTGTTGTTGATTGAAAGATAAAAAGCTCGATTTGCCGTGAAAAAAGGTACGATTTGACATGGTACCGAATGCGTGGATGCAGTCGGAAATCGATACTGTGGTCGGTGCTTAGACCCACTTGCAGCGGTCCCTCTAATAAAATTTGCGGGCTCTTTAATGGACCCCAAAAAAAAAGATAACTCTTTCTTCGACCTTTTTTCTACTATTTGCAATCGATGCAGTGTCCCGTATCAGGTCTATAGGAGTGTTTGACTGATCAGAGCCACGGCGGTGTGGGTACGCGCTAATGTCAGCACCTGCCACGAGGGAAAGATAGTTAGAAATGTTTTACTTCTTACTTTATCAGATTGTAAGGTCCGTCCGAACCGGCGGTAGGGCTATAGTGTCCATCCTAAGTTATTGTGTCCGTCCTAACTTCTTGTGTCAACCCTATATCATTAGGGAAGGGCTCCCAAGCACCCACAAAATACTATTGATGCAAGAATCCCCATTGTGTTATTAGAGTTACTTAGAGATAGTCCGTGATACAAGAATCCTGATTGTCACGGGCACAGCCCGTTCCTTGTAGGGTTAGGGTTGCAGGACTGGGCCCCGAAGTGGGGGCCTTGTGCAGCGGGGCTCTGCTCAGGTGGCCTGTGCGCAGCCACAGGCAGGGTTTTCCCTGAGCGCGCCCCGCCTCCCACATTCGGTTCCTCGTGCAACCACACAATATACAAGAGATCCCCTACCAGGGCGATTCCACCCGTGATACTGATACAGTAAAATAGAGGGCCCAGGGGTAGGGTTTGGACCCCCTGGGTGGGCACTTGGGTACCCCGCATTGAGATTAGATAAGGAAACATCGCGTGCAGCCTGCAGTGGAATTACTTCCACGGCAGCCATCGCGACACTTCCTTTGAATATATCAGCCTTTTCCACCCAATTTCGTTGTTCTCCCCTATTTCAGATACTTTACGTATCAATCACCCTTGAACAAACAACTCTTTCTTCTAGTTACTTTTTTTCTACTATTTGCAATTAGATGGAGTGTCCCGTATCAACTATCAAGCACCCAGCTGTACCTCATCGGGATAATCGTTTTTTCCATACGTCCGAGTGAATCACCAATACCAAAAACCAATACCAAAATTTCGGGCCGCTGTCACCTAGCCAGCTTACCATACCGTTGCGTGACTTCCGCAAAGTCGCTTCGAGATCAACAGCGCCGAAGCAGCAGCAAAATTGCCGACGACCCAGTCACATCGACAACCCAATCTCTTCATGTAATGCCCTCACGCCGGTACGCTGCCATTTCTTTTATGCTTAGGGGCTCAAAACTGACCCTCTCGATGCACTTCTAGAATAGGTACCTTTGCCATGACAGAGCATTCCACGGAACCGATCCCTCGACCGTGCGGCCCGCCGCCACCCGTCAAGATCTACGAGAGCCTAGACGACCTGTTTCAAGATATCTGCACTCACGGACAGGCAGACGGCTATAGCATCGTCAAGAATGGGAAAACCGGACTCATAAACAAGTTCAGATGTGCCAAGGCTCGCAAGTACAAGGATCAACGCTCCTCCAAAATTCACGAGAGCAAGCGGAGGAAGTCCAGCACCCAGATGACCGGCTGCAAGTTCCGACTGACAGCCAAGCTGCTACCTGACGGCAAGTGGCTGTTAGAGGTGCCTGAAGGGGAGTTCTCAAGTCACAACAACGTCAATTGACATGATGACTTTGCTGTGCCATTGGGGGAATCTCGGAACTTTTGGCGCTGTTAGCCCTGTTTTACGTGAATTACATACGTTACGCGAGCTGACGGTCCGTCACTAGTAAAAGAAGAACGATTATCCCAATTAGGTATAACTGGGTGCTTGATAGTATTTCGTGGGTGCTTGGGAGCCCTTCCCTATCATTATTAGTGTCCATCCGTACCTACCTAGGTCTCGACACCAATGCATATCACTGACACCCCCTACAACAACCACCCACAATCTCAACCCGTCTCCCAATCAACACTCGACTTCCCAACCACCCCACTCCCCTCCTTGTCCTCCTCCCCCTCCTTCTCCAAACCCCAATAAATATGCCCCTCCACCCCGACCCTCATTTTCCCCAACACCTCCGCCATCACCTCCACACACTCCCCCACACTCTCCCCCAACCCCCCCGTTCCCCCTCCAACTCTCCATCCACCCACCTCAACACCACACTCACCAAGCCCACCCTCTTCGCCTCGGCCCACGTCTCGTCCCGCTCGTAGACGTGCACGTACAGCGCGTTGCGCCGCCGCGCCAGCTCCGCCTCCATCATCTGGAAGATGCCCATCATCGTACAGGCGACGGCCACGTAGTTGACTGCGGAGAGCGGGCGGAACCGGCAGTCTGTAATGTCGAGGGTGAGGTCGCGTTCGGCGAAGAGGAGTATGTATTGGCCGGTGAGGTAGCGGAGTTGGGGCGGGGAGGTGGTGGTGGTGGTGGTCGGCTGTGGTTTGGCTTCGGTCGGTTTGCGGGGGTTTCGGGCGGTGCGGTGGTGGTGTGGGCTGGTGGTTTTGGTTTTGGTTTTGGTTTTGCGCCGCGGGGGGGTGGGCGGGAGATGGGCCATGGCCTCGTCATGTTCTCGGTCTGGGTCCATGTCTTCGGCGGGGGCCGCGGCCGAGATGGTAACGCTGGCGTCTTCACCGGCGTCGTCGCTGGTGTCGTCGCCGCTCTCGTATACTATAGTGGTGGCGTTGGCGGTGGCTTGTGTGGTAAAACTAGACAACCCCCGGGCAACCGTGCAGGAACGGCAGCGGCACTGGGACTTGTGAATCTGTAGCAGGGTTTCTTCGATCATGCCCGTGGCCCTGGCGCGCTTGACGAGGTCGGTGTCGTCGAGACGGGTCTGCTGAGTGACGGGGTCGACGGTCTGTTTTGTCCGGCCGATGCGAAGTTTGAACAGGGGGGATGGGATCAAAAGGTCCGCGTCCGGGATCGCCTCCATATTCCACTTGGATTGCCGATACATTGACAGTCCGGATTTTATCTTGAAGTAGTGGTTCTTTCTACCGCAAGGGCTTGAAAGGGGTCATAACTGTCATTAGCTGGCGGTTGTGCGGCGTGCCGATCTCTGCGTCTTGATCTCGCGGCCTGATCGCTGCGGGCGACAAGTGCGTCCGAAAAGTTGGATGAAGGCACTTTGCCAGAGACGAACAAGACCCCCCCAAAGATGTACTGGACCCAATCGAATAGTACCGAGGACTCTTTGAGGTAACCTTTCTTGACAAGCATGTTGTGGAGGTGAACCAACAATATGGGCTCAGAAAGGTTGTCCCAGAGGCGCATGCCGAGCAGGTAAGCGAGATCAAGACCCTCCGTCAGTCCGACGCCACACAGAAAGGGTGAGTACTCCCATAAACCATTGGAGTTGGTACCGGAGAATCGTGATGGGTGGATCGGGCCATGATCGGTGTCGCACCCCAAAACATTGCCACCCAGCAAGTGAGCAAATTCAAAGTGAAACCGTTGCAATAATTCGTTGGTGTACTCATGTCGGTTGGGGTCGTGATGGATCGTGGCATCATTGGCGCAGAATTGCTTGAGAATAGTAACGGTTGGAAGCAATCCAGCGCCTTTTTTCCTCTCATTCTCGCGGTCTAGAAAGATGTCGATATCACGGAGAGGTCGGAAGTTCTGAGCTGGTGGCTCAAGGGTATGCGTTCCCGCGATGCTAATCCGCCAACCACGAGAAACCATGAAGGAGTCGACGATACATTGAAGTGAAAAGACGATGTGAGGTAAAATGCTCTTGCGGATATCCGTTCCTTGCTTCTGCAAGGCGAGGGAAGTGATCAAACCCGCAAACCCGTTCAGGCCGAACAGTCTTCGATGTTTGGCCCATGGCCCAGTCGGGGACCAGTCAACATCCTCCAAGACATGGGGCTCGCCTGGTAGAGTGTTCTCCTTGACCACGATGGACGAGAAGTGATTCACCAAGCCGTAGAGCCAGTTCATGGTATAATAACGGCGCCACCGAGTTCTCTCTTCATCCGTCGCGCCTTGGAGGCTGAATCCGGGATCCCACTCGCGAATTTCGCGGAGCATGCGTTTGGTTGGTACCCGAGCGTGTTTTCCGGAAGTCGTCGAGAACGTCGACTAGGTTGCGGTGAGTGTCCAACATGAGGTTCTCACCAAAATCGACGGGAGTCGTGATGGTCATTCCGGCTTTGCCCTCAGGCGTAAATGTCTCGATGGTGATCGTGGCGATTCTGGATATATCCCACTTGGGGCCCGCCCGACCGATGAGGTCCATGACGGTCTCATAATAGTCGCGGCCGGGGAAGTCGACAAAGATCTCGGCTGCCGATTTCTGGACCATGGTGATGGCCAGTTGGGAAACAGCGCCAGCAACAGCACTGTTCAAACCACAGTAAGCGCATTTCCTCCATACGGACTGTATGTACTGCCGAAGAGACACCCATTCGGACAAGATGGCATAGAGAGCGACTATATAGTCGGTGTCGACTCCTTCGCCATCCTGTATGATACGGTAGCTCTCAAGAGGAACGCTGTCCAGGAGCGCTTCATTGGCGCGCGCGGCCTGCTGCTGCGCCTTGGACTTCTTCCCTCGCTTCCCTTTCTTTCCTTTGCCGGGCTTTGGTTGTCGGCGTCTCTTCTGAGCAGGGTCGGGACCTCTTTCGGGGTGGCCGTTGGAATCATCGGATTCCGAAGCTTCTTTATCGATGTCGGTGGTGTTGCTCAAGTCGAGGGCCATGAACTGGTTCGACAAAAGGAGGCGATCGAGCTTAGCTTTTGAATGGGTTCTAGTGTCGTCGGCAGCAGCGCCGTCGGCTGAGCAGTCGTCCGTAGGCTTCCAGTCCCGCCCCCCCAACTCGTGGAACGCGTCGGTCAAGGCGACGATGAAGTACCTGTGAGTTGCATTGCTCTTTTCGATTGAAGGGTCAGGATGTTCGGTAGCCATCTGCTGGAAGCTCTCATGGGCAGCGGTGCGAGCATCGATGACGGAACGGAACAGCTGTAGAATGGCGAAGGGCACAGGGTTGACGTGCCTCGCAATGAGGCGAGAGAGGGCCACCAGATCCGTGACTGTGATCTGCCCGGTAGTGTTTACCTGTGTTGGGTGACTATCCGAGGAGGCGGTTGTCTTGAGGAGGATGACATTGGATGTTCGGATTATCCAGTACAACAGCTGGCTGGTGTCTCGCTTGTACGCGAGGTAAACGTTGCGTGTCGCCATACCTAGGTAGGTAGTTGTGTAAAGCCTGCGTGTCGATTGATGCGGAATAGGGAATGCGCCTTTGGCGGAATGGGAAGCGACGAGAATCAAAATTCAGAATGAACTTAGGTATATATACGTAATGGTACTCAAATATACAACCGCAACTTACGTTGGGTGTTGTTACAACAGGTTGCCTGGCCGTTGTGACGGTGCTATCCCACCAGCTTTACGGTGTGTCATAGGGAGATCAGGCAGGTTGTTGTGGGGACGAAGCTGGGGAATGTTTGCGGAACATCCTCCTCGATGGCGATAATGGTGAATAAGGGACCTATTGTTCTAAAAAATACAAGATGTTTGCTACGGGTGAGTTTTACTTCTCTTGCAAGCCCAACAAGGTTTGGGTACACTATTGTTTATTTAAGTACCCCCTTACTAACAATAGAACAGTCTTCATGATCAAGCCCTACCATCTCATTGGGCTTGTTTTTTCCCCCTTGCTCCCCATCGTAGAAAGGAAAGCCGCCCTAATCATAGTGGAGACCGTACTGTTCCTGGCCAATCTGGCACTCCGCCGGCATGGATCTGGGCCGCGTCAACTTCATCTTGCCGAAGACGAAAGCGAAGCTCCCTGCTCGGTACCGCACGGTTGACCTGCGGCCCCCGGTTTGGCCTCCTCCATCATTGCGTGTATGGGGCGTTTCCGGCGCATAGTCCCGGTGTGTATAACGATCCCGCTGGCGACCCGCTGGATGCGGTCATGACAAGCAACCATTTGCTCACCAATGGCCAGAAGATTGCGGGGAAAGTGGTCGGCTGCTGGAAAGCCCGTGATGGCCCCGACCGGATGGGCCATAGATATGGGTCGCTTCATGTTGCATTTGTATTTTGGCAGGTCGTGGCGCCGGGCTTCGCCGGCATGTCAAGCGGCGTCAGCTTGGCCTCCAGAGTACGTCCTTCACCGTGTCAACAGTGCCCGCACAGTACTCAACCCCTGGGACGCATGCAAGCGCCGAGCCCCCAAATGCCTGTTTGCTCGACTGCTTGTTGCCTTGTTTGCTTGTATGCTGGGTGGCTGGTTGGGCGGCACAGCGGGCATCCCACCGGCCTGTAAGTACTGTGTACTTACCCCGGGCAATTTGTCCTGGTTGGTCAGGAGATAAAAGCGAGTACGCGGCCCAGTATCTTGCATTCATTCAAAGCGGGGTGGAAGTCCACCACGGCCAGAGCAACCAAAATCCCCCAAACCTCCAACTAAATTCTTGCAGCAAACACCACTAGCCCGACGTATCGACCAACTATGGCTGCCCCAATCTCTGTCGAGGCTGGATCAATGAGCCTCCCGATCAAAGATGGGCCAATTCATATCCACGCTTCAATTCCATTTTCTCTATTGGTAAAGGACTTCGACCCAAACACCGCCCAAGTCCCCCAAACGGAGCGGCCCCGACCGTGGTGGTCGCCTGCCCGCCTGTTCAAAGGTCAGCACGAAATCCCGACCGACGCCGCGGCAGACGCCGCAACCAAGACCTTCGCTCTTGCACGGCCCGCCTTTTCCGATCAAGTTTGGCCACGATTGAGTACATTGCTCTTCGGAAAAGAGGAGCCCACCTTGTACTGCAGTGTAGGGTCTGACGCAGAAGACTGGGAAGGCGCTGATACATCGAACTCCATTTGGGTCTTCTCGACAGGGGTTACGGAGGACGATATTGACCGTACAAGAGCCCTTCTTCTGAAGGCTAATCCGGACGGCACGGGCGGCATTCTCTTCACTGCTGAAGAGCTAGGCGAGGAGCAAAAGGCGGCCTGGAAGACCGCCTGGGTGGACGTGGCGCCGTACAAATCTCCAGGCGAGTCTGATATTGACTGCGCGATGACGAGGAAGAATCAGGCGCTCTATCGGTATATGTCTGGCTGTGCTTCCCGACACTCCAACGAGAAGGGGTCATTTGACAGTCACCGAGACTAGAACTCGTCGGCCATCGCCATCCAATGTAACCTATCATAGAATTCAAGTTCGCAAGCATGACTAGCCGTCCTTTTATCGATGCGTTGAAACAGTTATAATCCTCTCAACCACACGCGGGGTGCCTTTCCGACGAACAGCATTGACGGTACTAAATGAGCTCGATAGATAGCAGTGATAAATGCTACGTAAACTGTAACGGCTTCAAAGTACGATCTGTAAAAGCCACGCCAATGTTTGAGGGATGAATGAATGAATTGACCAGCCTCTTCTAGGTACGTGAGCTACCTAGTTAGGTAGGCAACCAATGCCAGGTACCTATATAAGATACCACCCTAGTAAATCTTCATCCCTGAGAAGTCTTCCGTCTGTTCGTACATGTATCCATCCAAACCAACCGGTACGCACAGAATGGACCGCTTACATCACGTCGCAATGATCCCTGCGACGGTTTCTGAGGCAACCTCTGCGTGTGCGGCAGCCATCGCACCGCTGTCCTCGCTCGTTCGTATACCAGAGGTCAGGGGGGATGGTGTTCCTTCTGCAACGCCCCTGGCAATGCTGATCCTCCCATCGTGCCACTTGGTTCCACGGTGTTCTGTAACCACACGTGTATCCAACTCGTTGAAGGTAGCACATGTCGGCTATAAATCACAACAGCATCAGTTGCCGTCTGTAGGAGGCTGACTTTGGGAAGATGAAAGACTCAACAATGTAGCTAGAACCACTTACAAATGGGGGTAATAGAGGTTGAATAAGCTAGGGACAACTGGCAGATCACTACTGGTGGCTGAAAGGAGTGGTTGTAAGACTTTTAAATTGAACTGAGGAATTGAGAAACGAATGGGCACGAGAAGAAAAGTGTTGGGAAACCCGAAAAGTTGTGCGTGTGATTGTGTGCTTTCGCGGTGTGCTTGAAGTTGAGATTGTTGTGTTGGCGACAGTGCAATGCTGCCGTGATGAGACGCCATCTTTATACGTCTTCCCTACCTCTCTACCTCCGTGTACACCTGTTGAAACCACATCACACTGTGAGGCACTGTAGGTTGATAGAACTGGTCTGGTCTGAAAATATCATGAAACGAGGCTAGACCTGGCTCAAGGCAAGGGGAGGCCAGGCTTTGGAAGATTATGGAGATCCAGACTGGGACATCGTTTTGGCCAGGACTGGGTCTGGAACGAGCCTGAGCCCAGGGTATGTTGAGGACGGGCAGGCCAACAGAGCAAACAGAGGGCGAGTGATGGGGCAGGGCCTACGGCGAGGCTGGTTTCTGTAGGCCGTTCGGTTACTGCGCCCAAAGACCTCGCCTGGCAAATCTCAGCTGTCCATTTTTCGGGCCAGGCATGTTCGAAGCCTAGGGAACACCAGGTGGTAATGCAAGTGGCTCCCTGTTGGCCCCCATATCTCGTTGTTGTCCGAGGAAGGCTGGTGTAGCCTGTGGCACATGCCGGGCAAGCCGCGATCATTCTTCAGCAGCCATTCGAGTTGCCTTTATAAACCAGACGAACGGTAACATCAGCAATCATGGACCGGACCAGTTTTGTGGCCTTTCTGCTCATTTTGTCAGATCGCAAGGGGGTAGCTGTATTGTAAATCATTGCCCAGTTGCATTTCAATCCCAGCCTCGGGAGAACGTAGGTATCCAAGGCACGCCCAACAGATCGGAGCCCCGTTTCAGGTATGTTAATGTGGTACGAAGGGTGCCGCTGAACGCTGAGTCCGTCTCTCGTGTGTTGCAAAGTTGGTTTAATTGGTTTGGTTGGCTGGCAGGCTGGCAGGCTGGCTGTGTTGGCTAGAAAGTCGGCTGGCTGTTGGTTCTTCGTTTCATTTCATGCATGTTGGTGGTTTGGTTGCACTGATGTTTGGCCCCGACCACATCAATGGTAGGGAAGACTCAGCGGCGGAAAACGCCGAATACCTTACCTAAGGACCGACAGAAGGGGGCGATAATTATTCTCCCCTTCGCCCTGATACGTCCGAAACTAACAAGGCATATTAACATCATGGGTCTTATCGATTGGGATAGGAGCGCGCTCTTGCACGGCCAGTGGAACTGTGGAAGACCACGGCTCATATGATGAAAACGTGGAGGCCAACCTTCCGGCGGCCAAGGCTACAGAGAAGAAGCCGGTGTGACGAACCTACTTCAGGACCCTGTCCTGTTAGGGTTCAGCTTCGGTTGAAGGTAATCTCTCAAGGGTGCTTAGGTTCGGTGCAGCCAAAAGGTACACAACAAAGACTTGTCTCAATAGTAGGCTTCCGAGCTTGTAGCGAACTGTAGCTGTGATTGCTAACTGGAGAACTCCCAGAGCTCTCCAGAACGAGTGACTATATACCTATCTAAGTCCTGTGTGCTCAGTGTGCTCAGTTGCGCCCTCCAACTGAGCTCACTGAGCCTCTCATGTGGGTTCCCTGATTGGTTTGTTTAGCGATTGGCCTGGGGCTTCCTCGTTCCTTTCTTGGTTCCACCCGTTGGCATATCCGTGACAGCTGGCCGTAGAGGGGAAGGAAGCTAAGGAGGCGGCAGTCGAGATAAAACTGTGGGTAGCAACACCCTCGTACGGCAGTGCTCTTTGTTTCGGATGATATATCCGTCGTATATTCAGATTATAGTTGGGACGAAATGGCAAGTCCGTCGGATATCAGAGGAGCGTCCATCGCATCGGTTGCGGCCGATTTCCTCGCTGACCAAGACCAGGGTCCCAACACGACGAATGACCACCCTGTAGAAGACGACGAAGCTGATGACGGCGACTTCTGCAATGATAACGAGGATGGCAATGATGACTTCTTCGAAGAAATGGAGGGTAACGAAGATGACGATACTGTGCCCTTCATCGCCCCTACATTATATGTATGCGACCTTCAAGACTAAGTTCTTTCTCCAAACCTACGATTCCCCTGAAGCCCATACTACGCAAGTTAACCTCGACAACACAACGACAAAAGAGGACATTGCGCGGTTCGAACTGCATATACACAATCTTTTCAAAGTTGCTGGAAGATTGGGTTTGTCGATTTGATTCCGCTAGCGAGTTGCGGCAAGCAGGGTACGAGTTACCAATAACGCAAGGCTGGTTCACCGTTTTCAGGGATGACGCTAACGCGGCGAAGATGTTATGACTGGGTTTGGGTTCAAAGAAAGCCATTTGATAGAGGCGTACTCTATACGTGTATTGCACTTCGCTCCATACATTCTTCAACTGTGAGGCCCACCGTCTTCTGGAACAATCTAACTGTGTCAACATCTCTCTGGATCACGGCCCAATCTGCTTTAGCGACAGGGCTGGGTGTGGCCGGTTTCCACATACCTGGAGAAGCGTTACTCGTCTCGCGTTGGTGAAAATCGGTACAGTCATGTGGAAGAAGTCGATGATATACGCCTCGGCGGCGGCCTGTAAGGCGTCGATTGCATCCGGTTGGAATCGGACCTCAATCCCGATGGGATGGAGGTCATGTACACTTTCCCTCACCTAGTGTCAGATTAGAAATGATGCATGTTGGCGAGGGCGAGGTAGCCTAGGGATTTGTACGTACGAGACGGACAAAAGATGAGCAGTCAGTCTATGGGCAGCTCGGTCGATTTATGGTAACTATCTCCGGATCTTCTTTGGAGTGACATCGCCAGCCTTCGCCCTCTTCTTCCGTTTGACACCGGAGACCGTCTGGCCGCCGCTCTTGCGAGCTGCTACATGTGTGAGACTTTTGCGAGTGGTCTTTCCGCCTGTGGGTTGTACTTACTCTGATTATGTCTTCTTGGTGCGGACTATAGTGCGGCTGGACTTTTGTATGATTGTGATTGTGGGTAAGTTTTATCGGAAAGAGAATGGAGCAGGAACGAGGGCTCCGTCCGGGGTCGCGCGTCAGGAAGGATCAAATGTTGTTGGTGGTTCGATGTGGAACTGGATGATTGGACTTTTTTGCGAAGTCGGTGTGAGTTGTTCGTAATGCGATATTTATTTAGGGTCGTTGGCAACCTCTTCTGTGTTGATTGTTCCATTTCAATGTTGCTGTCAGCGGACTCGGGAGGCGGGCAGATACCGGCCTTCACTGGACTCAACGCAACAAGACCGAACACATGATAGGTACCTTAACCTACCATCTCTAACGCTACGGATTTACTCCCGCCAACCCGAGACGGAGCTTGAACCACAACATGATGCGGAAAATGTCGGCCCTGTATGTATTGCATGCGAAGAGTGGCCGCGCAAGAGGAGATTCACTTTTAACTTCACAATCAAATAGTACAGACCGTCGCCGTCAGACTTGGTGGTTACAACACCGATTCCGTATATAGCACCTACCTACGTAATCTGCAAAGTCCAACATCACCTTTCGAGAATCGAAGCTCTCCATCCCTCAGCCGTATACCCATCCTTAGACCCAGCACTAACATCGACGGCGGGCTAACCGTATGCGGCCGCTGAGATAATTGATCCGAGACGGCAGAAACAGGACGGGAGGGCCCCAAGGCTGGGCCGGGGACGGGGACAGGTGCGGTATTGTGGTCGGTAGAAGATCCCAACGCTTGTTCCCTCGGTGCTGATCCCGACGCAGCTGGTGTGGCGTCCAACTCGAATCTCTGTTCTTGAACGCCCCCAGGGAGAGGCGGGCTGACGGACACGGCGGGAAGCTCGTGCTTTCCCATACCTGACCCGCCGGCCCAGATCGTACTGTGCGTTGCGTCCAACTCGGCCTTACCTCTGAATGGTGACGGCGGTTCACCGCCGGGCTTCGCCAAGTTGCTGATGTTGTGATCTGCTGCATCTGATGCCCTTCCGCCCTCCTTCCTCCGTCGCACCCGAAGATACCAGACGATAACAATTGCCATGCAAAGAGCAAACAGCATAGTTCCCACCGAGATTCCTACTATTGCGCCCGTCGAGGAGCTCCTTCTGTTGAAGCCGAATTGTCACCCGGTGTTGGAGATGTAGTGGTTGTGGGGGAACCCGAGCCTTCGACTAACCCTAGATCGCTGGGTTGTCACACGAGCTGGACCGCAGGGGCAAGAGTTGTTGCGCTCTCCAAGGGTTTCTGCGTGGTTGTTAACACCAAAGGGATGATGATGGTTGTGGTATTCCACTTAGGACCTGAGCCACCCGGGTTTCCAACCTCGAATGTCTCTATCCTGGTTGACGTCGATGGGATCGTTGAGACGATCGTGTCCGTGCCCGCTATCACCTCACCAAACGTGTTTTTGTCGTACACTCCGCAGTGCGTGAAACTAAAAGTCCCCTCGAACATGGTCGAGACACATCGAGGTCCGACGGTGGCCGTGTATGGGTTGACTGAGCCGTAGAGGAAATCGAAGCCCCTAAAATGAGATGAGTGTGAACCATTATCCCAAGGGGAGGTGAGGGAACAAGGATTGGACTTACGCTGGGCAGCAAAAGGCGGCGGTCTCTCCCTTTTCTAATCTGCCTATCACATCACGGGCGCTAAAACTGTCGGTCATTTCTGCGCTGACGACAGTCGCCGTGGTCCATCCGGACGGGCACACCAACCCGGGCGAGTACATTGCGAACCGCTCTCATGTATGATTGCCGGGCAAGCATGGCCTTGGGTCATCATCGCAATCGGTATAATACTGTCGACACACCTCCGGGTAATTGATCGAGGACGCGATCAAACAGTCTCGGCAGGTTGGCAGTGGTGTGAAGATGGTCGTAAGTGGTCCAAGATTGTTGCGTGTGGAAGACGCAGTCGGGGTGGGTGTCGGGAATGCGTAAACACGGGACATTATGGATAATGCCCGGTGATGAGAGGGCGAAAGAAGTTGCTGAATTGCTCAAGATGTTCGTAACTTTCCGAGTTGGCACCTGCAGGTAGAATCTCGGAATATAATTGTACCAGCCATACCTCCACATGCTGCTGCAGGACCCATCCGTCCCAAAGTCCAGGCCGTCCAAGATGAGGGGGAAGGGGGAGCAGGCGGGAGAGGGGCGGAGGGTTCTATTGCAGAACTACGCAACGAGCTTGTTCTGGTTCAGCGTCGCGACGAGCCAGCAGCCAACAGCGGGTGGTTGGAGGTCGACCCGACGTCGTATTTGCTGCGTGGTGCTGTACGACTTGTGATGTGATTCCTGTAACACTTGGCCTCAACCCGTGGGTGCTACACAGTGGTCTCTCGTCAAAAAGAAAACAAGGGCCAATGCCGGCTGCCGAGATGAGAGGGTCCTGCGTTCAAGGCCGCGGGCGCCGGCTCCCCGACCGTTTTCGGGGGCCTTCACGCTCGGGCCGGGTGGGAATCAGCCAAGCTTCTGTAGCCGATGTTTCTCAGGGGGGGGGCTTCTCCGGACTCATTCGCCTGCCCATCGCCGCGTCTTCGAAACTAAAAGGGGAAGTGGAACGGAAATTGGCTTCTATATGCAGACAATAGTCTGCGAAACGAACGACATTAACTATCCCTGACACGACCATCACAGTATTACTCGTAACGTGCAGTTTGGTCACAACCCCTATTCGGCTACTCTCGCAAACACCGGCATGTACTCGAGCGGGCAGTTAACCTCGATGGTTTGGCCACCATCAAACGTCTCAGCACCATCAACAGCTGTCCACTTGGTCCCTGCCGGGAGATACACCTTGAGCTTTTCCACTCCCGGCTCCATCACCGGGCAGCAGAGGAACTTTGGCCCAAACATATACTGCTGACCCGTCTCCCAGCAGCGCGGATCATCGGGGAACTCGTAGAACAGCGTCCTCATGACCGGAGTACCCTTCTTGTGCGCCTCCTCCATGAGCTCTCGGATGTACGGGCGCATTCTCTCCCGAATCTCCATGTACACCTTGCAGATGTCGTACACCTTCGGCCCGTACGACCACACTTCGTTTGGGCGCGCCACTGAGACAGGTCGCCCCGCCCGTCGTACCATGCTGCGGCTGGTGCGGTTCGCGGTCACCGTGCAGACGGAAGACCGGGCAAAAAGTGCCGAATTGAAACCAACGCGTGAACAACTGGCGGAACGCTTCGTCATTCGGGTCCCCGCCGTGGAACCCGCCAATGTCCGTCGTCCACCACGGAATGCCGGCGATACCCATGTGCAAGCCTGCTGAGAGTTGATGTCGCAAACTCAACCACGAGGACGCAATGTCACCGCTCCACACCAGCGCGCCGTATCTTTGGCTGCCCGCCCAAGCACAGCGCACAAGGTTGACAATATCCTCCTGGCCCTCGCTCTTCATACCCTCGTAAAAGCCTCGCGAGTATTCGAGAGGGTAGATGTTGCCAATGCTGAGATTAGAGCCGCGGTGGTAGGTGTAGTTGTCGAAGTCATACGCCGAGTACTCGGGCTCGGCCTCGTCCAGCCAGAACACTTTAATCCCCTTGGAATAGTAGTTCTGCTTCACCTTCTCCCACACGTACTTCCGGGCCGCGGGGTTAGTAGCGTCGAAATGCACCGTCTCTCCTTGGAAGTCCATGGCTATCCGCAAACCACGGTTTACCCGGATCAGCAGCCCCTGCTCGAGCATCTCCTCCCAGTTCTCGGACCGCTTGTCAACCGTCGGCCAAATCGAAACCATCAACTCCACCCCCCATCTCCTTTCAGTTCCTTGACCATAGCATCTTGGATCAGGCCAAGTATGTCGGGTCAAAACCGCCAATCCCCTTGACAGGGCCAATGAAAAGTAGTCCACCACGACTACGTCCAACGGCAGTCCTCGCCGCTTATACTCCCTCGCCACATCCAACCACTCCTCCTGAGTCTGATACCTCAACTTGCTCTGCCAAAACCCCAACCCATACTCCGGCATCCGTGGCACCGTCCCCGTCACCCCCGCATACGCCTCCACAATCTCCGCCGGCGTATCCCCCGCCACGACCCAATAATCCAACACGCTCGTCGAATATGCCTCAAAGCTCATCACATTCTTCCCCAGCACGGCCCGGCCCACCCCAGGGTTATTTCCACAACCAAGCCCATACCCCAACGGACGGACAACAAAAACGGCCACGCTCGCCTGGCGAATTCCTGTGCGCCAGCTTCCAAAGTCCGCCCCCTTCAGATCAAACAGCGCCTGCTGGTACTGGCCCATGCCGTACAGCTTCTCGCTGGGGTCGAGCGACTCGAAGGCGCAGGGTGAGGTGGGCGGCGCCGTTGGCGGACGGGACGGGCCTTGAACTCGCGCGCGGGCACGTTGAGCGCGCTGCACTTGGGGTCGCGCACGTCGACGCGTGTGCGTGTGTACTCCTCGAGGAGGGGGGCGCCCGAGGTGGGTGTGGGTGAGGGTGAGCTTGCCGCGGTGGGTGAGGGATGCTCGCGGATACGGCTGCCGTTGGTGGACGGTGGCGCGGGGTATTGGAGTCTTGGGGGGGTTGGTGATTTATGGAGGGGGGAGGGGCGGAAAGGCCGCGGGAGGAGGGCCCAGTCGTCGGGTGGGCATGGTGGGTTGGTGGGTGGCGCGGATGCGGAGGGCGTTGGGGCCCCATGGTTCGATCCAGAGGGTTTCGGAGTCGTAGGTGTAGATGAGGCGGTTGTCTTGTTGGGAGAGCATTTTGCAGGTTTGGGTGGGTGGAGGGTGATGGTGGTGGTTGGGTGGTGGTTTGGTGGTGTGGGTTGTTGGGAGGGCTGTCCGTCGTGTGGCCCGTGGGTTTCGAGGCAGAATTGACACCCAACTCAGGTCGTGGCTGGTGAGGGTGATTTAGTCGGAAAAGGCATTCGAGTTGTACGCGTTGATGAACTAAAGTCCAGTTATAAGAAACACCCATGACCAGATTGATGCATGTCGGGCGTAGATCTTCCGTGGAGGGAGGAGACAAGGCGGGACGTTGATGCCCTTCCCCCGCTCCTTCCCCGTCTTACACCGGGGCCGTGGAGCAAGAAGCGGGCCCGGCGACGGAAGAGTCCTTCGGAGTGGCTCCTTACGGGACCCCGCATCCAAAGTTCGTGAGGAGACAACCGCATCTCGCCCGAGCCATCTCCGATAGGCGCAGATACTGGACACCACACTGCAGCAGGGCGACATACTTCTGCAGCACTACACACAAGAAGCGTTCTGCGCTCGGAGTGGTGGATGATCACAAGCGCACCAATCCCCAGTTCTGACACTCTTGTCCACATGGATGCAAAAACTTCCATGCTTTGCCAAAGGTACGACAGCCATCGTTGGGATGCAAGGCATATCAGGTCTATTCACACAAGAGCCATTTGCTCCCGCGCCTCTATATTTCTGGCCATTCAAGCCGCCGACGCTCAAATAAATACCCGCTCCGCACCATCCAAGAAAAATAAAACGCCATCATATGTGTAGACCCAAATCCTCCAAAATGGTCATTAACTCGCTGTATACCAACGCTCATATGCCAACCAACTGATAGGTAACCCAAGAAGGGAAGTGAAAAAGATCGCCCACCCACCCCACCCCACCCCAACTAAAGCGCCCACGCCAACAGATTCACCACCCCCAACACCACCATCGCGCCAAGTCCCACCTCGACCCCCCTCCCAGCCGCATTGTCTTCCGGCGCCGACCCCCCCGTCGGCTGCAGCGCACCACCCGTGACACTCGTCCCGCCCGGCCCACTCTGCGCCGGTCCCGGCCCCCCTTCCATCCCCGTCGGCAGGCTCCCCGTGAACGTCCCCACGGGCGGCCTCGTGGCCGTCACATCCAGCGTATTCCCCTTGCCCGTCGGGGTAGGCAGCTCGGTGCATTGCCCCGTGGAACTCGGCACGGCATTGGCGCCCGACCCGATCGCGACGAGGTTGGTCTCGCAGTTGGCGGCCTGCGCGATGTGCAGGTTGCGGTTGTCCTGGTCGAAGACGACGTAGGCGGCGCGCAGGAAGGTGTCGCCTGAGGATGGGCTCCTCGTCCTCCGGGGTCACGCCCAGGATGCAGTAGGCGCCGCTCCGCCAGACGAATTCGTTGAGGGGCACGCGGATGGTCTTGCCGGAGAAGTAGAAGTCGATGGACCCGGCCATGTCGGTGTAGTCACACGGCAGGATGTAGAAGCCCGAGTCGCGGTCGTAGAGGGCGTCCGGGAAGGAGGCGGCCAGGGCCTCGAAGATGCGCGTGGGTAGGTGGGAGAGCGTCGCGCCGGTGTCGAGGAAGACGGGGACTGCGAGTTCTTCGGATTGGACGATGGAGCCGTCCGGGAGGGTCAGGCCGACGCCGGTCATGGTGACGTAGTAGCGGTCCGCGCCGCTGGGGGTTTCGTCCTGCGGGATGATGGGGAGTTTGGCGAGCTTGCCGATGAACTTGCCCGTGTCGACGCCGCCGAAGATGATGGCGCCGGTGGGGTTGTCGACGCCCCGCAGGTCGACGCTAAAGGCGCGGCTCTTGATGAGCCCCTGGGCGACCATGGTGTCGAGGATGTAGGGGTACTCGTTGACGCCTAGGATGGGTGGGGATACCCCCAAAATACCGAGCGGGATCTTGTGGGACTCGAGGGCGATGCCGATGATCTGGTTCTCGATCGTGGCAGCTATCGTTCACGCGCAGATGTTAGCATGCATCCGTCATCCAGACCCGACCAGAAGCTTACATCCTATCGTCACCGTTTCCGAGACATATTGGACCGTCGCATTCCCGATGCCGTAGCGGAGGGTATCGACGTAGTCGGTGACATTGAGGGTGCTGCTCTTGTCGTAGTCGAACTGCGCAAACTGTTCGCAGTCGTACGGGAGGTTGGCCGTATCGCACACAGGGTTGATCCAGGTATTGGGCGAGCCCGTGTCGAGGATCAATGTGATTTTCTGCGGGGGTGTCCCGATCTCGATCTCGACTCCATATCTTGTCCCGAACCTCTGATTGAGAACCTCCACCTCGTTTTGTCGTGCTCGCAAATTCGGGCCCGAGCCGGCCATCTGTCGAACGGGGGACCGGATTATGCCGTCGCCTCGTGCGACGATCCGGTTAGGCTCGGAAGCCCCTGCGGCGGCTGGCGCCAATAATGACGCGGCGAGAATAACCGGGAGCATGCTGGCGTGGTCCGGTCTCACCGGCGTTAAAGCTGGCGGGGAGGGAAGGTAGAAAGAAGGAAAAGGGACAATCAACGGGGTGGAGGTTTGAAGCGGACCACGGCAGCGCCGGTTGCTGGGGGTTGCATGGTTTATACGGGGGTGTTCAATCTGTGCTGAGGTAGGGGCCGTGGCACAGTGGGCGGCTGTTCTGGGCCCAGCCTCTCATGCTTCTTCAGGCTTGGAGGAGCAGTGAGGAGCTGCGTCACCCTTTGCCGTTTTAGTACCGAGGCGGATGCGGCTGGGACTTGGCCCGCGGGGGTGGGTTGCGGCGGGGAGTGATTGGGCGGCAGTTTGACAGAATGGGGCAGTTGGAGATGAACCAGGGCCAACGAGCGCACGCTTCAATCAATGGTTTCACGTGGCGGAGGTCTCGGAGCAATGCGGAGGAACAAAATGGGGCAGAGCCTCAGCCAGCGACCACTCGCTCCAGAAGGCCTCGTATCTTGGCCTTTCTCGGCCTGGAGTTGCTTCGCCACGGCCAAGTCGCCGTGATGCCCGTTTCTAACTTGAGAATCAGGTGTGTTTGGGCTTGGCGGATTTCAGGAACATCAGAAATCAAGCTTGGGAGAAGATCTTCAACGGTCGAAGTGAGCAAACACAGTGCATGGTTTGCAAGATTCATCAGATGAACCCCAGTAACCCTGTCCCGGGCCCAGACCGCAACCTCGCTAAACATTCCCACTTTTGGGATGGCGGCGCCTCAGACCTGACGATGCCCCTGTCTCAAACATCAACCAACATGCCTTTCTGATCTTCCGAATCATCACGCGAAGCGGTTGGTATGATACCCAGCAATATCCACTTTGATTTGAGCTTATTTCAACTTCCTGCGCGTGGTTGCCATTTACTGATGGTTTGTCCAGCGGTACCCATTTGAGTGACTTTTACCATTTCTCGTTCCTGGACCAGGATGGATGTTGGGTACCGAACTTGTTTCCTGCCCTTGCTGCCTTGCAGCTGACGCGGCGACAAGTCGAGAGCTCGCGGGCCGCCGACATTAAAGGAACGCAATCACACACCTCCACCATTTCCGGGTGCAGCATTGCAATTGCTGTTTCCTATCACCAAACCTATACAATGGGTTCCTCCCAGTCAATCACTAGCTCTCCGAGCAGCATTCAAGAGGAAGCCGAACAAGTAGAATCCTCCCCCCCTCCCGCTACTGCGAAATCCTACCGCGAAGAGCTCGACCTTCGAGTCCACTTTGGCACCCGAGCTGGGGCTTCCGTGCATGGTTTCCCCAGTACAGGTGGCGTGTACATGCTCTCTTGCTCTGTTGCGGAGCTCGACTTTCTCGGCCTTGACCGGTTCGAAATCGCACAACCATCCACTGACCCGGATAAGGAGGATGCGTTTTGCGCCAAAATGCGACTGCTCGGACCCGAATGGTGGCCGAGCCTAGAGGCCTACAGCAAGGCAGAGTGGCTCGACTTCACGCACCAAGCGTATAACCGGAGACGGCTAGTACGCTTCATCGGGGTTTCGCCCGAAGGTGGAGTTTGGGCTCTCGTGGTGGAAGAGGAAGACTGTTCCAACAGGCAGCTAGGCAGAATAAACAACGCCGTGAACATGGAGGAAAGGTGTGCGCAGATTAAGAGGTTTGGCGGCACCTTTTACGCCGACCCGAGCGACTGCCCACTTCTCGACTTCAAGTCTCCGTTCCCAGAGCGGGCCACCACCCATATACTGCTTGCGGATGGCGATGATAATAACCGGGAGATTACGCGCAGTCTCATGGCAGAAATCGGGTTCACACAGGTCACAACAGTTGGAGACGGCAAGGAAGCCCTCGCTTTCCTGTTGGCAGCCGCGAAGAACAAGGCACAGGAAAAACCGGACATCATTTTCGTCGACCCGGATCTACCTGTGATCGGCGGCCAGGAGTGTATCCAATTCCTCCTGTACGAGTCCGGTTATTCCGAATTTTATTCGCACCTCTCAGTCGTTGCCATGCCGCGCCCTACAACGCTGGGTGACAACAACCTGCGAGCTCCCACCATGACTGCCGTGAACGCCGTTCTTCCCCGTCCGATCCGAAAGGAACAACTGGAAAAAATACTGGTCCACTTGGCTCTCAGCGGCGCACGCCGCTTTCTATTCTCAGGACCAGATACCGACGATGCCCGCCGAGGTGCCAAGATTTTCGAGAAAAGAGACGTATATATGATGAGCGCGTCGTGACTGCTCAACAAAACGGGGTCCTGCGCGACACAACATTGAGAACTTGGGTGGAGGAACACATTATCTCCTCTCGGAAAGGCCAAGCAGGATCAGCTTGGGCCAAAGTGATGGAACTTTGCGCGGCGAAGCGTCCCCAAGCTTTTTTTCGTCGGCGCCGGGTTTCCAGCGCGTTACAACACAGGAGCATCATTTCCATCTGCACTAAGAGGTCGTCATCCGATTTCCATTATGTTGTCTTTCGCCAAGCTGCAGGTGGTTGTAACTCAAGTGACGTTGTGGGGCTGTTGGAAGGGACGACCTCGGCTCGAACGGATTGGGGTTTTGGAGAAGAATAACTATCGCCATCGGAAATGACTTTGTCGGGTCCAAGAGCTAAAAAGTCCAATCCGATCATGCGATTGCAGGGGGTTGTGTTGTTCTGGACTCGTTGAAAAGGCCTTTCGCCAGGCAGCCAGGCACCAGAACCCCACAAATGGCCCCGGACCCACCGCCTGCCTGCTGAGCCCAGAGGCTAAGGAACATAGACCGCTAACAGAATTGTGCGGCAGACTTCATGGTAAATTGTTTAAGGCTTCAAATGTTCATGGAGCCCCTGAATTTTGTTGTTGATGATGCATTCGAGTATTTAAACACAACGAATATCCTGAGAGTTTGACTTTCGATTTCATTAGAAACCATCTCATCCAGCCCTTCAAAATCACTCTCTGTCTGCGGCTCGAAAATTACAATGATCCAACTTGACAACTTCCCAACCGACGAAGTCTCCGAGGTCTATCAGCGATGCGTTCTCGTGTCTGGAAAATGCAACACCGCTTCTGCGCTGGAGCAGAATGACGGACATGTTCTAGTCGAAACGGGTGACCGATTTGGCAAAACCTTGTTTCCCGAACAACGATGGCCCATGTGCCATGGTAACTTCAAGGCCCTCTTGCTGCTCTCGCCCGGCCTCAACAAGATCACCATCACCACCCAGGATGATGCAAGCACAGAGGTACAGCGTCCCGAATCCGTGTCAAGTATCTCCTCCTCACAAACATACAGCTCTCCATCCGCTACGTACCTCTCCTGCAGACGCCACCTCTGCATCTAGCCATCCTAGTTGCAAAGGACTCACCCCTCTTAATGGACTGCCCTCCCGCAAAATTCGGCGGCATCTCGAGCGCCCACTCCGACCTCTCCGCCGCCATCGCCAAGTTCCGCATGACAGCCTACATGTGGCAGGCCCTCACAGCCGAAGACCTCCGCGCCAAAGGCCTCGGCCGCCGCGCGTTCCGTCTCGAAGAAGAATGGTCCACCGACACCCTCAGCCAGCGGTCCCAACAAACCCCCACCGCAGCAGCAGGCACCGTCCCCAAAATCCACCTCATCCGCACCGAGAAAACCGTCGCCCAACTCCGCGACGCCAACCTCGCCCAGCAGAACCCCCACGCCCGCCACCCCGACGACCTCCACAAAATCTTCACCGCCGCCCTCCTCGCCCACGGCGCCCCCTTCACCACCCACACCCGCCCCGTCGTCGCGGGCCTCATCCTCGACTCCCACTACAACACCCCCGACACCACCATCAGCCCCACCAGCCCGCACCACTCGCCCCTCATCCTCGCGCACGCCGCCCTCGGCAGCCACGACCCGCGCGGCCTCTCCCTCGGCATCTTCGGCAGCCACCTGACCTACGCCTGGCCGCGCTTCCTCGACGAGGTCCCCGCCTGCCTGCTCGACCCCACGCCGCCCGGCGACACGGTCGGCAACGACAACGGCGAGTGCGATTCCATGTGGAGAGCCTGCGCCGTGGGGCAGGGGGCGTTTTTGCATGAGGTCGGTCATGCGCTGGGCGCGCCGCATTCGGAGGGGATTAATGCTGAGGGGGTATTTCGCCGGATTGGGTGAGGGTTGTTTCTTGGGGGGGTGAGGAGTGAGGGTGGGGAGGGTGCTGGTAAGGGGGGGTTGAGGGCCGGTTGGGGAGGGGGAGGGGCCATTGATTGTCGGTGGGCGTTGAGTGATGCGTTGAAGTTTAGGATGTTGAGGCAGTTTTGGCTGCCGGGGGATGGGGAGGTGTCGAAGGAGGCGCCGTCGGTGGAGATTGAGGTGGGTGAGGATCCTGAGGAGCTGAAGAGCATGTTTAGTGCATGTGAACTGCGAGGCGGGGATTGCGAGGGTGGTCTTTTCTCCACTGGGGAAGGCGGATGAGGAGGAAGACAAGGTTTCGGTCTCCAACCCGTTGAAATCGCTCCGCTACTCGTACGAGGAACTCGCGAGTCGGTTTGGCACCAAGGGCCTGAGGCTGAAAGTCACCGGCATGAACGGCAAGGAGTACTCCGTCGACAATATCTGGAAATTGTTCCAGCGGGGCACGACCTCCATTCTGGTTCCGGGCACCAAGATCCGGCTGTTGAAGCAATGCGTCAGCGGTGACCGTCTAAAGGACGGCGACGAGGAGACTTGGGACTGGGCCGTCATGCTGAAGAAGCGGGACAAGAAGGGTAACCTCGTGGCTGCGAGCAAGATTGATCTCCGGGTCGGCTGCTCCTTGGACGGCGCGGAGGTCTACTACCAAGATGGAACCAAAATTCCTTGTGGACCCCGCGGCAAAAACGGACAGGACCCATCCATGGGTGGCCACCAAGCGAGGAAGCTGGTGCTTCCCCGGGACGTGGAGATTTCCAAGGTTGCCGTGACACGGGAAGGTGGGTGGTGGCTCGGTGGGCTGCGGATGTGGCTTTCCAATGGCAAGGCGATGGGCGCGCTCAACTACCGACGAGATGAGTCAACAGTAGACACGCTAGGCAAGTTGTCCCATAGCTGATTGTTCCGATGGGAGACTAACAAATGGCAGTTCCGGCTCGGGGCCACAAGATTATCGGGTTCTATGGCGTCAGCGGTACATGGGGAATGTGCATCAGCTTCGGCATTGTGACCGCTCCACGGGATGCGGACCTCCCCGACTCCGTCTACGACATGCAGGAGCTGCAAAACAACCCTGATCGAGACCAACACCGAAGCAAGAAACGCCGACTGGTGCGTTACTATATTCTCTGTCCCGCGGTGGTTATTTTACTAATCATGACATATCTCTAGTCCAACGAGGAGGACGATGACGACCAAATGAGCGACCCCGACGAGTGCGACGAAGATATCGACAATTCATCCAACTCGGGGGACAAGGACGAGGGATATGATGATGGCTGGGACTCGGAAGTGGAAAGGGTGTATCGGGGCTGAGGATGGCACCAATATCTGGCTTGATTATATTCTTGGAATGGACGGTTCTCTCCACCTGGATTGGGGGTCGAGTGTTGGACGCACTGGGCAAACTAATTGTTGGCTTAATGGACGGCTCAAAGGAGTGAACGAACAAGTTCTTTTTTTCTGGAGCTTCTCGCCCATATCATGAGTCTGGTATGTTGGTGTTATTATTATTATTTCTCTTATCACGCTAGGTACTAAGTACATGCGGTCCCTCAGCGATTAACTCGGTAGGAAAAACCATGCCTAAGCTTGGATAAAAACCTCCGCACCTCCGCTGCGGCCTCGCCGCTACCCCGTGGATCCATCTCCTCGAAAGGTCTCACCCACCTTCCGAGGTCAAATTAACGAAATAGATAAAATGAGTTGTAACCTCTGTTCCATCGGTGCCCTTCTGCTACTCCGCTTCGGCCCCGCCGCGGGCCTCCTCGTTATTGTTCTCATTTTCCAGCTCTACCGCCAGCCGGAACTCGTTCAGCCTCCCCAGCCCAAGTACCCACCCCACCACTATGGCAGCCTTCTCCACGTTATCTAGCCACTCCAGGAGCTCTGCGCCGTCGTCTGGCCAGGGCTGAGGTTTATCTACGGCTCCGTTGCATTCGAGTACGAGGTGTTCGAATGTCTCGCGCGCCATACCGCAGCGGCATACCGGCGTTACCACCTCGGGGACCCTCCGAGTAAAGAGGAACCCTCGAAGCCCAATCTTCCCGGTCCTCGCTTGCACTAGGAGGATACTCGGTATGTTGGTGTTAGCTTTTCTCGTCTCGGTGTAATAAGAACATTTCCCATGGAAGCCAAGCAGTATCACCAGTATTTTGTCTGATGCACCTCCAATATTCTAACTCCCCAGTATCCGAAATCCCTAGTATCCCATTTGCTTCTGTGTTCAATAGCTGTGGTTCTTCTGGTTTGTTGTCGGACCCTGCATCGGGGGAGGTCGGCTCAAAATGACCCGTGATCCGTTGGAGATTCATGGCAGCCAATGAGATCAGAGCAACAAAGAGAAAAGGGAAAGGCAACCCGCTGCCCTGCACCTAAAAGCTGGAGTGCATCAAATGTGGAACTTGCTGTGCACCCTGATCCCAAGCTGCTGATTCTGCGACCAAATCACAAGACCGACTGACACAAGAAGGAAGGAGCGGTAAGAGAGTCTAGAGAATGATTGGCTGAGAAGAATAGAACTCTTGAATTCCAGACGACTTCGCTCAGGTCCCGGAAATTCCTCGTTCTTTCCAGTTCCCATCCCATCTCGCGGTTTCGCGCCAGGGCTGGGCCCAAAACCTCGCTCCCCTCTCGGTCCCGCACAATTATTTACTCTCGTCCTCCACCGAAAAACCTCTTCTCATTCCACACTTTCTTTTCAAAACCGTGGAGCAAACCTACTTTCTCAGCGCGCACCGGCGGATACGATTCTCACAAAGCGAGTGCCTAACATCAAGAGTAACTCTTGATTAGCGGCAACTCACTCGCTCGACAGTAGATCAAGGTGAAGAATCCCCGTCTTTCGTTCATTCGCCGCCACTTTCAAGCATCACGAAACAACGATCCCTCAAGCCCCTAACACCTACCACTAACAAACCGCCATCTGCCCTTTCCCTGATTTCACGATGACCACTTACACTAGAGCCGGGACGATGCGAGTCTTCCTTGTTCAGACGGCGCAGGGACTAACTCCCTCGTCGGGCGGCTACAATGCCAATGTCAACCTTCTTCGCAGCCTCAGCAAGCAGGGTCACGATACTGCCCAGCTTTGCTACGCCAACGACGACGAGATCCTAGAGCACGCCGCCCGTGCCAAGCTTAACGGCATCAACCCCAACGTTGCCATCTCTTCCCTGTCGGTTGTCGACCCTCCCGGCCAGGCCTTCGAACTAGGTGTTAAGACCTTCACTGACGAGCACAACGTTTACAATGTGACCCTTTCACGCGTCAAATTCAACAAAGCCTACCCCGTCCGGGAGTTTTAGGAAGACACCCGGGCCTACCTAGATGTAAGTTCACAAGCCCCTTTCATCCTCTGTGCTTTCCTACCAGGTAAATGCTAACAACTAGCTCCAACAGCGCAATGCCTTGACCGCGAGAATGGACTACCTTGTGAAGCTTTTCGCCAAGCACATCACCGACTTTCAGCCGACCCATGTCATCTTCAATGATCCGATCACCATGAAGCTCTCGGCATCCCACCCGATGCGCCACACGTTCAAGCGCATCAACATCATCCACACGGCCGAGCAGCTCCCCTTTGGCCCGTTTGTTGCTGGCGTCGACGGTCATTGTCTCTCCCCTGCCGCTGAGAACCGCCTGCTGCGCGATCTCGATGGGATTTGGTCCGTCTCCAATGCAGTCAAGGATTACGCCTGGACCCACGGCCGGCTGATGACCAAATTCCTTGTCCACCCTCCCATGACCTACCTCGATAGGGTGACGGGAGGCATGCCTGTCGTGCGCAACAACATTGACAAGGACGAGATCGGCATGGTCAACCCCTGCCCTCACAAAGGCCTTTCGATCCTGATTGCACTCGCCCGCAAGTTTCCTCACCTGAAATTTGTTACCTGGAAGAGCTGGGGCTCCCGCACCGTCCACCTTGAGCAGCTCTATTCACTTCCCAATGTCAAGTGAGTTTGCCTTTTCTCTGGATGTGAGAAACATGCTAATACGTTCTCCCTACCAGGGTCGTGCCGACCACCAAGAATCCCGACGAAATTTGGGATCGCATCAAGGTTCTACTGGCCCCTTCCCTGTGGTATGAGGCCTGGGGCATCGTGGTGACTGAAGCCCAGCTTCGTGGCATTCCCGTCATTGCGTCCAACGCGGGTGGCCTCCCTGAGGCAAAGATTGGTCTTCCGTACTGCATCCCTGTCAAGGAAGTCACCGGCAAGCGCCAGGCCAACGGCGACTACGTGATCCCCGATCAGGACATTGCCCCCTGGGAGGAGGCTCTCCAGAAGGTCATGGGCGATAGGAAGGAGTACCAGGCCCTCCAGACCCTCACTGCCACCAAGGCTCGGGAGTGGCTTCGCAGTCTGTGCCCCCGCGCTCATGAGCAGTGGCTCCTTTCCATGATGGAGCAGAAGTAGGCACATCAAGGCTTCAGCCCTCTCGCCCTCCTTGGCCTCTTTCATCACTTTGGCTCAGCCAGCCTGGTGTGGCTCCTTGTGCATACTGGTCGTTGGGGCAGAGCCCTTTGGAGCACCACAGATAGCAGTACACAGTACCAAAAATGCTACATATCACGTCACATTGGGGTCCGCGCATGTGCTTCTTTGAATGAATGTGAATTTCTGTATGTGCCTCGGTCTTATTCTGGAGTGCCGCGGTTAGTCTTTTTGCTATCTTTGTTCGGCAACGGGAATACTGATGCCGTGGGAGCTGGGCAACCCCATCTGATCCCAATTGCAACCACATCTAGACAGGCACTTTGGAATTTTTGTCTTGTTAAATGTTGTGCGAACCCGGATTAATAACTCAACTCATATTTCCAGAAGCGAGCCCTTGATCAACCATCCAGAGTGGGGTAAAGCAACATCCCCTTCAAGTACATATTTTGGACGGAGGGGTAACAATTCTAGGAAAGACAAAACTGCGTAATCCGTTTGGAGCACTGAGGGGGGCGTGTATAACGCGTTTTAGACGTGTTCATTATAGAGTTGCACTTCGAGAGAACTCTAGTTTATTACCCGCTGTTATCAAACACGCTGCGTTCTGCTTCTTGCAAGTTTTATTTTGTTTCGTTCCAACCGCCACCTGCTACTGAATTGTCGGGGGCAGCAGCCTCTCAATGGTCAGAGGGCCACACACGTAGGCGTCTCAAGGCTGCGCTTGTGGGATTAGCGGCGCGAGTTTATTGATTTCGAGCCATTACCTCCCTCATGCGTCCTTGACATCACAAGGCGTGTGTCATGTGGCCCAAGTGTTGGCGCGACACGTGTGTGGGTTTCGCGGTGTATCACCACTTCACCACAGGCTGTTTTGCTATCCTGTCCTTTCCTCATTTTCTAGTTCCTTCTAGCATCTTCGCCTGGTTAGGCGCCTCGAAGGATGGGGATCACCAAACAAGAAATAGGGGGTTCGAGGGTCTTCTGAGGAATGTACATCTTCCGACTTTGTGAGTGGGACCGTCGCGTCGACGGCTCGCAAGAGAGTGGAGTCAATGGGCCCCCTGACATCGCGTGGTTGTGGATGGTGTTGCGGCAACTCAACCGAGTCAGCCTGAAAATAAATTGCCAAGGCCTTCAGGGGAACCCCTTTTCATCCTGTCATCTGGAAGATGGTGCCGTCATACCCCTTTTCGATTGGTGGAACCCAGGGTGGAGGCAACAAAAGTGTAGATCACAAGGGGAAGGAAGATGCATGAAACTTTGCGGCTGGAGATATTCAGAAACAAACGAAGAACGGTCCAATGAGGCTGGTTCGGCGCATTCCGGTAGATCCACGGCCCACCTGCCTTGCATGGGAATCTCTCGATCGTCTCTGTCGTGTAGTGTACAATGTTCAAATCCTGGACATCGTCGCAGGTGAGCGACTCCCTCGGCTCTCCATTCTCGGCGGAGTCAAAGCTCAGCATTGAAGTTAACTCCTTGGCATCTTTAACCGAGCCGCATCGTGGGATACTGTGGGGCAGCGGCGGAGAGTTTAGCGGAGAATTAGTTCACGGAGGAGAGCACGTTCAGCAGGGAATTTGAAGAGTCGCGCTATGGAGTTCCAAAGTAAGCAGCTGGAAATTGGAAAGGTCGGTAGTCAGTGATTCTCAGTGATGGAGTTTAGAGGATACTTCAAATTGTAATTTATGAGCATGCCTGCAGCCAGAGAAAGCTTCAACGCCATTCGCGCGCTTCAAACTCTTTTGGAAGTCGCGCCAAGCACGTGTGGGATTTTGGGGCAACGCTCCTGAAGCGCTTGGGGGCACCCCTGGCCGAAACATCTACCGAGAATTGCCCAGTTAGGCCATGTTTCCTCCGTTTGGGCCCCTGAGCCGATACTCCGGCGATTGGGGCCGCTCGAGCCACCTCAAGAGCCGCTCGCTTGTGCTTGGTCTCATGGCGCGCTCCGTGATTTCCAAGCGGATGCAACTCTAGAATCGCTGGATTCGGAAGCAGCGACCCACGTCCATCAACTCTCCTCCGCCGCCGCCGCGCCTTCAAGGGATGATGCGCCATGGCCTGAGCACTGACCAGCTTGACCTCCATCTTCCTCCACCCTCACCGCGACCCGGGTTCCAGTACCATGGTTCCGTTGCGCGTGATCACCAGATTGACTGGATGATGTGCAATCAATCATCGTGCCTTCCGTTAAGTTCCCTCCTAAGACTGGGAGTCCGGGACCCTGCTCCTGGTTGGTGCGAGCGACAATTCTCCGTTTTGACTCCCTCCAACCAACGAAGGTGAAGATTGCGGCGGTAACCTTGAGCCAAGTGGCCCAAGATGGTAGTTCCGGTCCCTCACCTCTCCGTTCTTTCTCCATTGAGTCGGACTTGGGCTCGGAGAGCATGCGCCCAGCTTTGGGCCATATTGGGTTAACGACGGCAACGAGCCATGGGACCTGGAATGTGTATCCCTGCTGGTGGGATAACTGAGCCCCGTGAGGATGGAGAAATTCGAGGATTAGAGAAGTCGTATTCCTCAGGGTAACTCGGACTTGGCAGTTTCAAGGCTGGAGAAACGGGCCGACACCTCTGAGCTGTCTGACTGTCTCTAAACACAACATCATGACAATATTGAACCCTCTTCTACATTATAAGTACCACCTTGACCCAACTCTCCGTCCCTATCTCCAGACTCTTCATCTCAGGCAGGTCGACAGTCCTTCGTTTCTACTTCGGAATTCCAGCTCTCAAACTAGCAGCTTTCCGCCCTTTACCTTCGTTTTCTCAGTATGAAGTTCTCCGCTCTCGCTGTCGGCGCCATCGCCGCCCAGGGTGTCTCGGCGCACTACTGGTTTGACACCAACATCATGAACGGCGCCGCACAGACCCCGTACAAGTACGTCCGCGAGTCCAGCCGGCAAATCAAGTACAACCCCATCAAGTTCTCGTCCAACCCTCCCGCCGATCTCCGTGATGGCTCGACTATCGACGGACCCGATGCCATGTGCAACCAGGGCGCTTTCGCTAGCGCTGGCCGTACCCAGGTCCTGACTGTCAACGCCGGTGACGAGATCCGTCTCCGCCTAGCTGCCGGTGCCGCCTTCCAGCACCCGGGTGAGTATCTCCAAACAAGCCCAGTTTCCGAGCCGAACTGGTCGATTAACTTGTTACAAACACAGGTCCCGGTCTTGTCTATCTTTCTCGGGCCCCCAATGATAATGTGAAGGCCTATGACGGATCTGGAAACTGGTTCAAGATCTACGAGGAGGGCGTGTGCAACAGAAACGCCGACTTCACCAACACCGCCTGGTGTGACTACAACAGGAACTACCTTGCCGCCAGGATTCCCAAGGATACCCCCAACGGCGAATACCTCGCCCGTTTCGAGCATATCGGTAAGCAGCCTCCGCGGGAATGATGAATCCATTTACAGCTGAACCGCTTTTGCCTAACCCGGTATAATCAGGTGTCCACCGGTCCCATGTCAACCAGCCCGAGCACTACGTCTCGTGCATGCAGATCAAGGTTCAGAACGGCGGCAACGGCAACCCTGGCCCTACCGTCAAGTTCCCCGGCGCCTACAAGAGCAGCGACCCCTACGCCAACTTCAGCATCTACAACGGCTACAAGGACTTTCCCATGCCCGGCCCTGCCGTCTGGACCGGCGGCGGCGGCGGCAGCAACAACGGCGGTGGCAACACCGGCGGTGGCAACACCGGCGGTGGCAACACCGGCGGCGGCAACACCAACCCCGGAACTGCCTGCGCCCCCATGTGGGCTCAATGCGGCGGCAGCGGATACTCGGGCCCCACGTGCTGCTCGGCCGGAACGTGCAAGGTCAGCAACGAGTGGTACTCGCAGTGCGTGTAAACTGTGACGGGATTTCTCTTCGTACCGGTCTCTGTAAGGGGGCTGGCGATGGCACTGCCCAGCTGGAACAGGGGCCAATATTTTTGCATAGCGACATTGATAGTGGCATATTTTTTTTTTTTGAAGTCTTCCTGTTCTCATCTCTGCTCCCTATCATGGTCCCATCTGTGATTCGGAGTCTTGTGCTTCATTGCCGTTTGGAATATCTCATGTGGGACTGATTCGATGCCAGAGATATCAATGATAAACGATCAGCAAGCCAAGACTAGAATGCCCAATGTCAGGAGTATATTGGGAGGTAGTTTTAGGCTCATGACGAGCAACGGGCCGCAAGTTCCACAGGAGTGACGTCGGATGCGGGGCACCACTTACACGTCCATCTACATACCGCCCCCCATGACATAACGACAAAGGGGCACTCTGATGCTTAAAACAACCACATTCCATCTCCATCCTCCACAGTGTCATAGCTGCTGACATCCAACATCTCTGCAAAACAAGCCATCGCTCAACATCGCTCAACATGTCCAGCACCCAAGGCCACTCCAACGTCGGCTTCCGCGGCGTCTACGAATCACAAAACCAGCGGCACTACACGCAAGAAGAGATGGACGAGATGGCGAAACACACGGGGGAGAATGTGAGGGGGTTCATGCCGAGTATGCTACTCCCAACCCTGGTACCAGACCCCGAGTCCCACCCAGAACAGCTAACTCAAAGCCAACAGAGGGCCAGACGGAGGAACTCAACCGGCTCCAGACAGAAGAGGTCAGTCTCGCGCCCTCCAACGTTTCCTTTCCATCCCCTCCGTCTCGCGAGAATCATTACTAACTGTTGCTTTTGCTTACAGATCCACAGAAAACAGGCGGAGAGCCTGAAGAAGGATCCCACCCTCGCCGTCAGTCCCTCCCCCCCCTCAACCGCACACCTTCGACAGCAGGACCTGGCGTTAACACGGGACAGGCAACGCTCCATGGCAACGCGCCGGCCAAGGGCGCAATCATTGACAAAGAACTGCAAGAGGAGGATGAGGCTGCGTTGAGGAGGAAGAGTGATTCGCTGCCGGGGAAGAAATATTGATGGGTGTGTTTGTCATCATGGTGTGGATGTGGTCATGTACGATACGATGGATGGGTCATGAGGTATGTCCCAGGTCACGGATGTATTGTTGTATTCTGTTAAACAGCTGTCTGGAAGGAGAATGCATCGGCGTCTGAGAGGTACTTCCAATGTGACAACGCCTGTCCCATGAACGTCTCGCCCCAAAATCTCGGAACAGCGCTGGCATCCACGACGCCGATATTGTATCATCGCCCTCCTTTTGCGGCTCCGAGGTTGTTTGCTTTTGCGAAGGTCGTGTTTGCCTGCACTCTTGCGAGAGTAGCGGTGTGCAAGGCTGCGGCAAAAACACGCGTTTCCACCCAATCAGACGTTTTATAACCGCGTACGCGTGTAGGCAAACCGCGGCGGTACTAATAATACACGGTTGTGTACACAATTGTGTACCCAAAAGTCATCACTCGTGGGGAGCTGAAGTTTTGTGGCTGCCACAACACATACGTGGCCCAATCTCATAGCGGATGTGTTCACAGACTCCATGGCTATTTGGGCACCCCATAGAAGCTGGGCAAACAGCCCCACTCACACTGATGCACGCATCAGCAGTCTCTATCACCCCTATTCGCCTATGAGCTCTGCTACAGGATAGCAAGGCCTTCACCGCCGGGATCGCTCTAAGGGGCTTTATGCAGTTGGAATAGGAATTCGCTGCCGCGTCGGATCAACAATGCAAGGCGAGCCTGGCGCGGAGGAAACGGCGTACACAGCGTCGGGGTCGGAACCTGCAGAACTGCAGGCCCAGGTTGTTCCGGATACCATCGGCGGTAACTGGTTATCTTGGGGTGGGTAATAGAATGCGGTGAGGTAGATGCAGCACTAACATCTAAGATTGTGGTTGACATAGGAAATGAAAGATGACGAGGGATGCGGAAATCCACCGCAGTTCTGGGGTTGCCACGTACCAAAGATAGGTAGGTAGTCTGCAACACCGTGACGGTCTAGAATACGAGCCAACTCGCATCCAGTAACACGGGGGAAATCAGTCGTCAAGACGGAACGTCCAAAAACGATAGAAGAACGTTGTGCATGTTGGTATATCCGAGAACGACCCTGTTGCTGCATAATGAATCGACACGCGCATAGCGGCCACGGCAGCGGCGGCGGCGATGGCGATGGTGATAGTCACTGGCCCCAAGGACGCCACTGGGCGTGCCCTTTCTACTTATCCAACCCGATCCGCCATGCGGCTTGCGTGGCCTACAAGCTGGGACGCGTGCCCGACGTCAGACAGCACATCGAGCGGAAGCACGTTGATGAAGTGGGGAAGAAGGAGATGGAAAAGATGAAGGGAAAGAACGATAGGGGAAAGACGAACGTGGAGCGGTGGTACGCTCTGTGGACTCTCTTCTTCCCGGGCCTGGTTCAGCCGGCATCGCCGTATTCTACCGGGACCGAGATTGCCGACGTCGCTGTTGCTTTCGTGTCGCGTTTCATGGAGGGCTGGGAGATGGATGGTAGACCGAGGGATGGCAAGACGGCGTTGACGGAGTGTGTGGCCTTCGTCAAGTACACGTCTCGGGAGATGAAGTCAGGGCGCATGTCGTTTCAACCTCAAGCTGTTGCCAACGTCAGCGAGCGCCAACCCCAAGATACTGTGATCCAAAACAGCAACACCCAGGACAACGTCACTCACCAAGGTCTCGCACTGTTGCCCAACCAGCTTGACCCAATGATCATGAGTCAGCCTCAACGATCCGGTCCACGAGGCTTCTTTCCCGGGTATTACGACCCCCAAGAGCCGATTGTCCCAACCCAGGCGCAAGCCCCATCGTTATCCGTCACCAATAATCAATACTGGCCTCGCCTCACCGGCCCTGCAGCATACCCAGCTGTGCCTACTCATCACCTTCCCCCAGTCCAGTCATTTTATGCCGCAGCCGCCAACGGACTTGTTGACTATGCGATCGACCCGTCCAATCTTTCGAACGCTATGGGCTGGGCCTCGGCGGGTGGTTTTGACGGCGGCGATGACGAATTCCAATTCGGAGGCGAGGACTAGGTCCTTGAAACAGCTATGCTTTTCGACGTCGGCGGTCTGAGGGATGAGTCTTGGTTGGACTCTTTTGCGCTGTGAGGTTGCGAGAGTTGCGACCAAGGAGGTGGTGGTTCAAGAACGGTCTGAACTCTGGAGGAGGCGACGCCGCGACACCTAGACTGGGTCAGTTAGCAGGCTACATCTGGAATGAGAGAAAACCTCATTGCTTCTGCCAAATACAAGAAAATTCATACCCAGACCCTTGACCAAGTCAAACTGCGTTGATCACCCTGCGACATGACACGGAAGCTATGATCCGGATGGATGGGTATGTCGGGTATGAAGCTGTGCAAACATTGACGCAAGCCTTGCTATCAAGATAAAATCCAGGTCATGGAAGAACCAGGCACCAGCGGTTGGCAGGTTGTTTTGTACCTGGATTTGTAAATTGTCGTAGGGCCGCTTGAAACGGGAATTGTAAATTCAGACCCTGTTTCCACGCTGAGTGGGGGGTGGCATGGGTAGGGCATGGCCGAGAATATCACTCCACATTGGTGGACCAGCCGTGAACCTGTCGCACCCATGCATGCCCGATACACAAATGTGACCTATCAGGATTGGGCACAAAGCAAACGACAAGTGTGGCGTGGCATCTCACGGATTGACCCACCTACGTGCCGCTCTCGGGAATCCCAGAGTGGTGATCAATCTACACACCAACTCCACCTCCATCACCGCCCCCATCAGACACCACCAGGACAGCAACAAAGCTGCCCATAACCTGCCACCGGCCTGCTCAGCATCAGGCAGCATATTCCAGCGGAGAAGCTCGGCTAGCAGTGCGGTATTCAGTTTACCGATCTTACATTATGTACGAGTAATTCCCCTTCCTAAGGTACTTGGCTATCGCTCATGGAATATGCAATTATGCATCGAAAGACTACCGCTCCTTCCCGACGGTTGTGTTTGACGAATGACCTTAGATATAACCGCTGGCAGTCGTAACTAACACATTGTTCGACCCCCTTGGGCCCCTCCTTGCCTACCTAGGCACTCTTCCTTCTGCTTTTGGGTGACGGGTTGAGGCAGCTGTGCAACTTATTTCGTGAGACCACGGCATGGAACTGGTTGCGGTATCGGTTTCCTCCTACCTTAGTGATTGTGATTCAAGGTCTCCTTGTTAAGGATGGGAGGTCGGAAGCGCCGAGTTCTAGTTTATAGCGATTTGTCGGGTCATTAGGGAACTCGTTTCGTGGCGTTCTACGTTTGCATTGCCGACGATGAGGTAGGCATGATGCGATAGTTGTGGCCCGCGGCGCGATGGGGAGGCCTCCTTTTGGCATGAGCGCAATTGAGTTGAGTCAGCGGCTGGAAAGACAAAAAAGGGCAGTGGAAGGATAAATTGTATATTTATGAAGGGTGCCCCCGTTCGGAGGCCAGGAGGCCTCCTCTCTTTGTATATGTAGGCTCACTAAAACGCATGGCTCCTTGATTGTTGGTACGGGTTTTTCACCCGGCCTGGGAGGGCACGGTTTTCCTGTACACTAAATAGCAGAGGGTCGGGCACGCCCTAGGGCATAGCGGAGTATGAATAATAATAATAATATATTTATGAAGACAACCGAGGAGACAGGGCAAAGGATGGGGGGAGGGACAAGATAGATAGTATAGTAAGAAAAAAACGGAATGAAAGGTACCTACATAGTAAGGTACTACGGCAACCCCAAAATTTCGTGCACAACTGTCACACGGATCACCACGTGGACTCAACCATCATGTTACACGGATCACTACGTGGACTCAACCATCATGGACTCAACCATCATGTCACACAGATCACTACGTGGACTCAACCATCATGGACTCAGCCATCATGGACTCAACCATCATGTCACACAGATCACTACGTGGACTCAACCATCACCAATCATTTTCAGAAATCAACGGCCACTCATCGGCCAGTCTCACTAATTTCATTGGTGTCCTCGTCAGACGCCCTCCCTCACCTTCTCACCTTCTCACCGAAACCCTTCATGTATAAGAAGCCTCAGAATGTCAGATAGCTCCAGAACTTCTCTTTCTCTCTTCATGGACTTCTCGAGGCCATTGAAGATTATTCTTATTAATACACTTGGTTTTGCCGGTTCCCCCGGCAGCTGATTGTTCAAGCCCTGGAATTCCAGCCCTTGTAACAACAACACATCTCAATAGTTCGCCAACACTACCCAGCGTTACCTGGGATGGTGTCGCAGGAGTTTGGATGACCGAGGCAGGATATAACCCGTGATGTGACGAGCAGTTTTTAACAGATCCCATCGCAGACCACTTCGTGGTGCAATGGTTAGGTTGTGAACCTAGTCGTAACCCCCCCGTCGTTGAAGCAAGACCGCGCCGAGGTTGGCGAATGACCACAGCCTCTTTTTTTACTCCCAGTTATAGCCGGTTCTTTTTTTAGATATATACCTATATATCTTTCTTCTTATTTTTCATCTTTCCCATCTTTTATTCGCCGATGGTCTCAGGGTGCAATCTCAATAGCTTTCTATTGTTTCCAAGGGATCCAGCTAAACGTATGAGTTCAATAATACCTATACACTGACTGAGTTCAACCGCCGTATGAGCAAAGTCAAGGCCATACCGCAATTTGTGTTGAGTCGAGGCAAGCCTTCCAGAACGTCCCTGCGACGCAACTGGAAGATATAGACCACCGAGGCAGCTAATTATCTATCTAGTTATGTAATTAAACCCAGTTTTATGTTTACCCTTGAAAAAATTAACATTTATTCAGTGGTTAGTTATTAAAACAATGTGTTCATCAGGAAGACTTTGCCGCAGAATAGGCACTCACACCACCGGAGACAGCCAACTGATTTATCTGAATTGAACAATGCTTTTTTTTGGGTCTTCTTCTTTTACAAAAGAGTCCAGTCCATTCAGAGCTACCTACCTATTGTTGAGATTTCATAATAGCTGCAACGGATCCGACTTCTTACCGGGTATAGTGCTTCGATAAATATATCGTCCCCCATCTCCCCTAGCATTTCTTCTCCTAGACTCGACCAATTTTTCCACGGAGCTCCCAGCAACCGGCATCTACAACACCCGCATTTTTCTCGTTTCCCTTCTTCCCCTGGGTCTTTTCTTCTCGTTTTTCTTCTTCCTCCACCGCCTTTCCTTTTCGTCGTCTCTTCCTTGATTTCTGCGAAGTCCGGCGATAAATAAGGGCCATGCTAGACGGGCAGTAACTTTCGGCTAGCCGGGCAGTAACCTTTCAGCTAACCGGGCAGTAGCTACCCCTGACCTGGCAGTCCCCTTCCACAACCCGTGACAAATAACGCGCTTTTCTTACGCGCCCAGCTACGCGCTAATTCTCGCCAGATCTTCGGTAAGAACCTTCCATTCCGACCTTTTCGAACCTGATGAACCCGAATATTCCACTAGCTCTCGTCGACGAAAAGGTGCAACACCTCCAAATTGCGCGCACAAAATGTCGGATCAAGATTTCGAGGAATGGGGTGGTTTTTCGGAGGACGGCCTGTCAGATGACGAAGATGCCATCCCAATATACCCAGAGGGAGGAGCCCTTTGCAATGACGGCTCGACAGTAAAAGCAGATACTATTCAACAGCTTCAGGACGCAATCAACGCCCACGGCAAGGCCAACGGATATGCAGTAAATCGCCAGAACGCCTCCAACCGTATAGCAGGCCAACCGACTTACTACACCATCGTCTGTGACCGCTTCGGTTTGCCTAGACCTACCGAGGGAGTCCGGCTACGCAAGTCCAGCACTCGCAAGTCTGGCTGCAAGTTCAAGGCATCGGCAAAGCTCACAGATGAAGGATGGGTGTTCAGGCATCATAAGGATCCTCGTTACCACGTCCACAACCACCCGAAGTCCCTCGATCCCTCGGCTCACCCACAACACCGGAAGATAAAGTCCCCGGTCAAGAACCTTGTGAAGAAGATGTCCAGCTATAGCGCCATCAAAGCACGCGAGATTAGCAAGATGGTAGAGGAGGAGGAAACCAATTCGCACTTCACCATCAAGGATATCAACAACGCCAGACAGGCATTCCGTCGACAGGAAAAGGATGGTTGTTCAGCCTCCGGGGCTGTGATCAAGGCTTTTGACCAGGAAGGAGTCCTATATGTCCCGAAATGGGATACCCGAGATCCCAACCGCCTTTTGGGCATCGCTTTTACCTTCCCAGAGTGTCAGGAGATGTGGAAGCGCTTCCCAGACTGCCTCAGTTTTGACAATACTCACAGTACCAACGCACTTGGATTTCCCCTGTTTGTTATTACCACTCAGACGAATATCAACTCTACTGCAAACGTTGCCTTCGGCTTGATCAATAACGAACGCCGTGAGGGCTTTGATTTCCTTGCTCAGGGAGTCAAGGAACTCCAGGTCCAACTTGAAGCCCGATCTCCAGCCGTAACGATCACTGATAAAGACGAAAGGATGAGGGACGCCCTGAAGGAGACGTTTCCGGATGCCCAACAACAGCTGTGCCGTTTCCATATCAACAAGAACGTTCTCCTCCAGGCAAAGAAGAAGGGCAAATGGCCTCGCCTGCCCGACCAAGTTGCAGCTGATGAGGAGGGTCTTGGTGATGTATAGTTTACAACAGAAGAACCCTCTGAAGATCGTCCTGGATCCCGGACCAAGATCACCCACGATGCTGAGGGCGTTCTTACCATCTGGAAGATCCTGGTACGCGCCAAGACTAAGGAGGAATTTGTGAGGATCTGGACATGGCTTATTGCGGAGTTCTCCGACCAGGAGGAGATCCTGCAGTATCTCCAGGCTGAATGGCTCCCTCTGAGAGAACAATGGGCGGAATACTGTACTCGGAGGCACCTGAACTTCTCCCAATCGGTCACGTCTCAGACCGAGTCCTCTAACTTCAACATCAAGAGTTATCTGGTAACCGGCAAAAGCGATTTCTTACGCTTGACAAAGGCTCTCAAAGAAATGTGCCAGAATCAGCACCGCAACTACAATCAAGAGGTGGCAAAGCAGATGACGAGGATTAAGATGGACTACTTACACCAAGATTACCTAGGTGATCTCCCTCAAGCCGTCTCTCTCAAAGCTCTAGAGCATATTACTCGCGAGAAACGGCACGCGCAGAAGGCATTGAACATGCCCGCGATACAGGATCCGAAGAAGTCCCAGTCTGCGATGATTCCTGTACAATACAGCTACAGTTTCGTCTTCCTTGCCGGCATATTATTCACCAGCGATTGAAGGATAAGGAGCCTCTTACTTTGCAGGATCTTGATCCACGCTGGCTCCTTGATTCGAGGATCGATTGTCAAGAGAGATATATTCGAATCAGGGACCCCAATCCAGCTGAACGGCGACGTGGGCGTCCCAAAAATGAGCCCATACCAGTCACCAGAGAACTCTGCCTCCCCGGCCAAGTCAGCCTTCGACCTCCAGCCTCACAGAGAGGTAACCGACAGTCCCAACGAGGTTGGAGAGGCAGTCGGCGCGCCCGCAACCCAAGAGCGGCTCGAGGCCACGCATCAGCTGGAAGACTCAATCCGAGTGTGAGACGGCGCCTGTCGCAATGGGAGATAGAACCAGAACAGCTGGATGACCTCGAATCCAGGCCTGAAATCGAATCGGAGCCGGAACCAGAGATTATAGTCAATACTTGGCGTGGAAAGGACCCAGAACGCCGACCTGAGAACGCCCCAAGGATCTCCGGGCCGGCTAGAAGTCAGGGTGCCGTCCCCAATCAGACTCTGCGGACTACTCGGAGTGGGCGTACAGTGATGCCAGTCGCGCGTATTCAGGAGTCTCAGGAGCAGCCTGCAAGGGCTAGGAAACGCCCACGCCGCTGCTGAATATTGGCTGCACAGAGCGGGAGTCTAGACCTAGAACAAACGTTAGGTGGAAATAGCTGTACCGTTTTCACAACGCAATTGTACAATACCCGCAGGTCCGAAAAGGACATGGATTACACTATAGAATAGAGCAAAAAAAGGATATTACAAAGGACTTTTGATTAATCAGGTATCTGTTGAGGGACGCTGCGATATTAAGGATCTACGTGTTAGCGTTTTCTCTTGGGGAGGTACTGCCCGGCTAGCCGATTTGGCACTGCCCGGCTAGCCGAAAGTTACTGCCCGTCTAGCATGGCCCATAAAGAAAGCAAAAAAGACAAGAAACAGCAAGTCCTCGCTCGGCACCCGACACCCGACACCCGACGCCCGACCTCCCCACGTCCGCAAGTTGAAACCCGCCCGCCACAATGCCTAAGGAAGTCCAAACCAAGCAGGCCCTGCACCTGGAGGTCATCCACTTCGCCCCCGGGCAGATGTTCAGCAGCCGGCTGCTGGCAGAGAGGGTATTTGGCCTGCTCCTCGGACCCCAGTACAGCGAACCCACGGGCAGCAATCAGCTCGCCCAGATCCGGGAGCGCGCAAGTGTAATTTTATCCCGAATATTCGACCTTTGCCTCGCGCGGGCCGCAACTTTTGCCGCGCTGGATGACTGGGACCTCGGCTGGCAGATCGTGGCCGGGGACCTAGCGGAGAACTACAAGTGCGTCATGGGAGCTGGGGAGCTGAAGGAGTTAGTGACCTTGTTCGCCGACGCCCGCGTCCGGTTCCTCGACAGTCCCCGGGCCAACAGACCCCACGCGTCCCCCGACAAGCTCGCGAACTTGATCGACCGGTGGCTGGAAGCCACGCTGCACGACGCCGCCGCCATCTCGCCGCACCCCCCGGCGTCACCCTCATTGTTGCCCGCGCGCCCCGCCCCGCTCGAGAACCTCTTCGCAGGCTTCAGCCTGCACACTCACGGAGCCTCGCCCGCCGCTGCCACCGCCGCCGGCCCTACCGCAACCGACTGGCCCCCGTCCCACCTCCCCGCTGCCGACCGTCACCTCCTGGACCACTTCAAGGTCCGTGCGCAGCTCGCCGGCGTCTGCTGGGACACCAAGGGCGAGATGCCGAACCTCCCCGACGACAAGTCCCCCCCGCTGGCCCTGCGCCTGTTTCTCGGCTGGCTCGCCGCAGCACACACACCCCCTCCGGCAGCAACAACGACACCGACGACCGCCCCGCCCTTCGCGCTGTTTGCCGCCCCCGTCGCCTTTGCCGACAACCGCGAGCGGCAGGCCTGGTTCCGGCCCTCGGGCTGTCAATCCAAGCTGTTCGGCCACGTGGAGGGTTTCCTGGCCTACGCGGCCGACAACTTCGCCGCCGGCAAGACGATGGTTCTCGGCCTGCTCACGCCCGTGTTTGCGACCCCCGACGAGGCCCGCGTCATGGCTGGGATTGTTGCGGGGGGGACGACCGCGCGGCGGCGGCCGCCGCTGCTGAGACCTTTAACAACCACGGCAGGCTGCGGCGGTTCGGGGCCGCCCTGATGCTGCGCCTCGTGGAGCGCGGGGGCGTCCGCGGGGTGCAAGTGGTGTTTTTCTGCCCCTGGGACGAGCACCCGTGGATCAAGGAGCAGTGGCGGCTGCAGGACTGGCGGCTGCGGCTGTGGAAGAGCGCCGTGCTGGACGCGGTGGATGCGTGGGCGGCGAAGCATGGCGTCGTCATCCACGAGGGGTACTCCAGCGGCTCGATCCGCGTGCCCAGAGACCGCGACCACGATTCAGTGGGCATGTGTGCGGGTTGGCTGCTGCGCGTGGTGACGGCCACGCAGAAGACGATCCCCGGTGATGGGGAAGATGAAGAGTGGGAGTGGGAGGAGACGTGCCATTTCAGAAAGCTGGAAAACTGGGCTAAGGTGGAGGAAGACATTGAGGAGGATGAGAAGATGGAGGTAGACGCGGAAACTTAAATATGCCTTGGGCATCGTCGGTCGCCGGTTGGTGTGGTTCGGGGGTATGCGGTGCTTTGCTCTTTTTATCTTATTTATTACCGCAATGATACCCGGATGCGTCCTCGAGGTAACATTCTTTGCATTGTGAATGTGTAAATCCCGCTGATTCTTGTTCTGTTCAACTGAACGGCGAGTTTGGACCTGGTTTTCTCACACCTTGAGCCGGGCCGGAGACGACTCAAGGTTTGGTGGATGTCACGGGGCATCAAGGAGCGCGACAAGGACCGATAACCCGCAAACGGCTCTGCTGGTAACATGATATCTCTATGGTCGTTGGGGATGAACAGAGGGTTTGCTAAGTAGGTATTGAGAGCAAGGCTCCTCACAAATCAAATATTTCGCAACCAAATAAAATACTTGGCAAATAAGCCAAACCAAATACGGCCCTATATTTGGCAAATAAAGGGCCACATTTGCCAAGCTTTATTTGGCTTATTTGACTTATTTGCCAAGATTAACGGGTTCCACACACATATATAACCCTAACCCCAGACTACACCGTCGAGACCGTCTTCTTTCAAGGCTGGCACCTGCACTCGCACCCCTGGCCGAGGAACTGGCCGATTCGTTCAAAAACGCAAGAAAAATTAGAACTGGCCAAATATATTTTTTGCCCAATTAGGAGATTGCCAGCCCACACCGCCCGCGCATCCATCCGCGCACCCACCAGAATTGGGTGGGAAAGAGAGAGGTCTGAAGCGGTGGTTTTCGTGGGCGGTGATCTTGATGTCCTGGGCATGCAGGCCGGTGGATGGATGCGCGGGCGCGCGGGCGGTGCAGGCCGGCAATTGCCTAAATGGGCCAAAAATATATTTGGCCAGTTCTGAATTTTATTGCATTTTTGTACGATTCAGCCAGTTCCCAGCCCAGGCCTGGCCCAGCCTGGGTGCGGGTGCGAGTGCGGGTGTGGGTGCATGCAAATGCTCGCCCCTGAAAAACGAGGTGTGGTTCAGGGTTAGGGTTATGTATGGGTATTTGGCTTATTTGGCAAATACCCAAATAAATATGCAACCTAGCCAAATAAATAAAATATTGGGGCGTGCCAAGCCAACCAAATAAAATAGGGGGTCTTATTTGATTTGTGAGGAGCCTTGATTGAGAGGAGATGAACAGAGATCGGGATCGGGCGGCTGCGATGTAAATTGGGGTGAAAAAGGAAACAATTGCTGCAAATAAAAATAAAAATAAAATAGAAAGCCCCAGCCAGGAATCGAAAAAGGAAGACTGTGGTCATTCGCCACCCTCGGCGCGGTCTTGCTTCAACGAGGGGGGAATCGACTAGGTTCGCAACCTACCATTGCACCACGAAGTGGTCTGCAATGCGATCTGTTGAAAACGAACAACTGATGCAGGAATCCCCATTGTGTGATTAGAGTTACTTAGAGATAGTCCGTGTCAGGCCGCCGCACTTTGGTCCTCTGCAAACAGTCTGTGCGCTCTGCGCGCACAACTATAATGCAGTGTAGGCTGAGGCGCCTTCTACCTTTGAACAGATAACTCTTTCTTCTACCTTTTTTCTACTATTTGCAATTAGATGCAGTGTCCCGCATCAACAACCAAAAGGTAAACTATATAGTGCCATCTCTTCGCGCACCGCCACCGCCGCCTTCTGCGCACTGTAGTGCATTCAAGCAAGACCTCTACGTAGTTGAACACCGTCCCCAAGATGGCTGCCGGTGGAGGTAATGTAACTGGGCATTCTCGCCTCCTATTGAGTCGCGTTCAAGCTTTTACAACATATGAGGGAGGCTCCAAGTTCTTATCGCCATAATGGTCATCATAAAATCTGAAGGCCCGGGTCCGAGTTTAGAACAATTTACCTGAGTCTCGTGTGGCGGAGGACACCTAGTATTCAATGACGGAAACCTCCGTGGTGTTCTTTGTCTCTTCACCCACCTTGATCCTAGTCTCCGCCTCTCCGTTACGGATTCTATTTTTATTCTTTCAGTGGCGATCTTACACATCGTATTTTTCTTTTTTTTTTTTTCGGAGCCCTGCCTCCCCTCTCCCTCACCCCTGTACCACCCGATTGTAACTTGCGAAAAGGTTCCGGAAGTGACTGCTCACGACTTGAATCATCACAACAACCGACAACCCAACGTACTCATCTACCCGAACCCCTCAACACCATCCTCGGTTCTCGGAATCTATCGTCTCTCGCAAGACTGTCAACACCAACCACGCGGCATCGACGGCTCCTTTTGGCAAGTGGCCCCCGCCGTCCCCACAGGCCCTCACCTTCGTTCTGACCCTGTTTCAGCACGTCCAGCTACCCCACTCGCAAGCACATCTGTTTCGGGCTATTCCGGCGAATCTCCAAACACACAAAACATGCAAAACACCATTCACAATCCCGCCGATGGTGTCGGTGCCTCGGCAGTCGCCACTTGGCACGGCGGCATTTGAAGGTCCCTACAGGAGAGCAATGCCCAAGACTCCGACCAAGAGCTGCACCCCGCAGCGCCATCCGCACCCAAGAATGCGGGGAAATACTACTGCGCAGCAAAAACCCGGCCTTGCCAGCTGCCGTTGTGGTATTAGGCGTGGATCTCCAGCCGGGTGAGCCGGGGTTCCCCAGATCATGCTGTGGTACCTGCCGCTAGAAGGATGAGTCTTTGACAGCCTTGGTGGAATTCTGCGGGAATGGGATGTCGTCGTGTGCCGTTCGGGAAGGGGGCCGATCCGCCAAGCCGCGCCCAGATTCGCTTCACGAGCCAGATTCAGTAATACCACGATGGCGCTAAACCCCAAAGAGGAATGCTTGCGGCGGGCCTCGGCGCTGGGGGTCGACGACGTCCGGGACTGAGGTGGTAAGGGGATGCCCAGGGCTTGGGACGTTTCCTGCGTGGGGAACACCAAAGGGAGCTCGATGTGGTGATGGTTTCACGGGCTCATGAGAGCCTCAGCATCCTGTATAAGTAGATGGGGAACCTCACTCGATTCTAACCTCTCTCTCCAGCTCACACCAGCCAGCAGCCTCCAGTCCCCCGTTCCGGTCAACGCCTCTATCCAAGCCCAGCTCTTTGTGTTCTTTCGTGTGAACCAACCCCACAAACCCCACCAACAGACAACATGAAGTTCCTCACTCTCCTCAGCGCCGCCGGCCTGGCCGCCGCTCTGCCCGCCGCATCCCCCCCGACCGAGCAGAACAACGCCGCGCAGATCGAAGCCCGCCAGCTCTCCTCGACGCGCAACGATCTCGTGAACGGCAACTCCGCCAACTGCCCCAGCGTCATCTTCATCTTTGCCCGCGCCTCCGGCGAGCCCGGCAACATGGTATGTGACACCCTCACCCGCCCTCTCCTCTCCCACACCCACACCCACACCCCTACCCACAAACCAAACCCCCCACTAACCCCCTCCCAGGGCATCTCCGCCGGCCCCAACGTAGCCTCCGGCCTCGAGCGCGACTTCCGCAACGACATCTGGGTGCAAGGCGTCGGCGGGCTCTACAGCGCCGGGCTAGCTCGAGAACTTCCTCCCCGCGGGCACGTCGCGGGGCGCCATCGACGAAGCCAAGCGCATGTTCACGATGGCCAACACCAAGTGTCCCCAACGCGGCAGTGGTCGCGGGCGGCTACAGCCAGGGCACGGCCGTCATGTCCAACTCGCTGAGCGAGCTGAGCGGCGCGGTGCAGGACCAGGTGAAGGGGGTGGTGCTGTTCGGGTATACCAAGAATTTGCAGAACGTGGGCAGGATTCCGAATTACCCCCGCGACCGCACCGAGGTGTACTGTAATGTGTCGGATGCGGTGTGCTGGGGCACGCTGTTTATTGCGCCGGCGCACTTTTTGTATACCACGGATTCGTCGATTGCGGGCGCCGCGGTTCTTGAAGGGGCGGATTGGGGCTTGAGTGAGTTGGGGGTTTGGGGGGATGGGGAGTGGGAGGGGACTTGGAGGGAGGCCCGGGGGCGGAGGTGGTCCGGAGGCTGGGACTCGGCCGCAGTTGAGGGGGGATGGGGGTTGCGGACTGCGCTGAGCAGGTCATGAGTGATGAGGATATGGGACATGGGTCGGGCGCTGGGGGAGGATGGTGTGTGCCCGGCTCGGGATGATGACGGTGGTGAAAACGGGACTTTTCTTATCAATGAGCTCATTCCATTCCCGGTTCATGTAAATAGTTGGCTTGCATTCGAAAAAACCCCCCCCAGGGAAAAAACAGGGGCGGGACATTAAAGTACCATGTTTATCGCGGGGGGGGGGGGGGGGTTGTGGTTTAATTCGAACCTGAACCCTTCCTTGGGAAACGGATTCCACGCTCGTCGGTTTTAGAAACCAGCAAAAGACAAAGTGCTTAAACTTATGAAACATGACACCGATAAACCACTGCAGACGCCAGTAGACCTAGTCCAAGGGGACGTTGCGGGTTGGACTCCCGCTCCAAGACAGGTGCATTTTTTCCGGACTAGGGGGTGCCATGACCAAGGCCTCGAGGCCCGCCGAGTCAAGCATGGTGAGAAGCTGGTCGATGTCCTCCTCAAAGTCACCCGACGTGGCGTCGTCGGGGGCTGCCGAAGTTATGCCCAGCGGATGGTCCAACCTGTCGACTCGGAACGTGGGGAAGGGCGCACGATAGTCGTAGTGGTCCTGGAATTGGTGGTCCGGAGGGAACGTGGGGGTTTGCAATACCGGCGGGAGAACAACTTCTACGCCCAGTCGGCGGCTGAGCAGCGCCACGATGTGCGCCTTGAAGGCCGCGAGCTCGGTCTTCATTGGTTGTAGTTTGAGACAGGGGCCCGGCCAGCTGTAGGGGCCACAGTCATGGAAGACGATACGGCCGATCGGGACCAAGGTTCCCTGAGTTTCGCCTTCGCGCGGAACAAATAAATCGTTTGCGTGGGCGCCACAATCTAGCAGCAAGTTGACCAAGCCATAGTTTGCGGCGAGGGCAGCGAGAGACAGCGGTGTCCAACCGTTCTTCGTCCTGGTGCTCACAGCGGCCCCGTTCTCCAGCAGCAGCCGAGCGGTGGACATTTGGTCCTCAAGGTTAATCCAGGGACCAAAGAGACAAGCATAATGGAGCGGGGTCCAGCCCCTCGTGTCGGCTACGTCGATAGCAAGCACAGAGCCTGTTGGGCCGCCGAGGAACCCTATGAGTTCCCGCAACCGATCGCCAGAGCTGAATGCAGCCGCGTGGTGGAGTGCAGTCCGTCCGTGGGCATCGGGGCTGGTCATGTCGGCGCCGTATTTCAGCAGGAGGCGAATGATCCGCAGGTTGTCCTGAGAGTCGGGTAAGCGGCACATCCAACGCAGGGCTGTCTGGCCCTTTCTGCTAAGGGGTATCTCTAGGCCCTCCACAGAAACGTCAACGACGGCATCGATGATGGTTGACTTTGGGGTAGACTGGGTCGATTCGTCGTGGTCCCTGTCGAGGGTGGCTTCGGCCAGAAGCGTGATCACCTTGCACGCCTTTTCGGTAGCCGCCAACGCGTTATCCGGTAAGTTGTCGCCAAAGGAGAAAGGGATAAGCGATTGGGCCCACCAAATGACGGACAACGTGGGAGGAATCACCCGCTGCGCCCAGCTTGTGATGTCTGCCCCTTGGGTGATAAACAGCTCGAGAACCTCGGTAACCTGGGGATGGCCCCAATGACGGTACAGCATGGGCAAGGGAGAGCGCGGCTCTACGGTACCGGAAATGTAGGACAGCTCGTGGGCGCCTCCGTGGGCCACAAGAAGCCGTACTTTGTCCATGTCAAGGGGGAAAGCCTTGTTGGTAGCAGAGCCCAGCAGCGCGGCCCCAAGAGGGGAGCGGTCCGAACATATCCCGGACAGCGTCCGCATCGGGGGGATAAAATGGTCCCCTGTAACTGGCAATTTTCAAAGGGTCGGCCCCGTGCTCAAGCAGCAGCTTGACCATCTCGACCGAAACCTCAGACTGCATGGCCAGGAGAAGCGGCGTGGCGCCGGGCCCTGCGCGACGGGGCGTCCGGAGGAATATACCAACTTCCGTGTGCTGATTGGGGTCGGCCCCGGCGTCCAGGAGGCGGCGGACCATGGGAGTACCGCCTGGTCGGAAGCCTATCGTGTGTGGAGGCGTGTCAGGCAGGCCCATTACGAGGTGGATCGGATAAAACACTTCGCGAAGGCGACGGTGAGTATTACCCCCGCGGGGGTAATTTGGGTCCTTGGTGTTAACGTCAGCGCCATGTTCGATCAGGAGTCGAACCATGTCCAGTTTGTTGGCAAAGATAGCAGTACAGATCGGAGTATCGGAAACAACGCGGCGGGAAACAGGAGAGAACCCCGGTTGAGCAATGTGCCAATGGCATTCCTCATGGGAACGGGGCTTGAAAATATGGCTAGGGGACGCGCCGTAACTGATAGTGCGCTCAAACGTTGGGACGATGCCAAAGGCGCAGGCGTACCGCAAAGCGAGGCAGTCAAAATCGGATATGTCGCGCCTGTACAGCAAGTCTGTCGTCGGAGCAACCAGGGTGCGGCAGGTGAGAGCAAGATGAAAGAGATCGGCCTGGTATAACAGGCGGCAAATCATGACGAGCAGCTCGGGGGGCAGGCTGGTAAGCATGCATCGGCCAGGAGGCCATGAGGGGGGCGGGGAGGGATAGCGACTGGTGCCATTGACCCGGCTGCGGCGCAAAGCCTTGTATTCTTTGTTTCTCTCCTTGAGATAGTCAGGGACGGACGGAATCAGTCCAGGCGTGATGAGACCCCCCGCCATGGCGTGCACTGACGCTGGGGCAGCAATGTGTCTATTGAGAATGTTCAAGTGAATATGAACGGTTTGCGGCTTGGCTTTCCGGTGCTGCCTGCATGCGGCCGCTGCTTTTGGGGAGGAATTGTTGTCACGTGTGGTGAGCCGCTTGGCCCGAAGGACCTCGTCACCTGGCAAGATAGCAAGATGAAATGGGTATCATTGGAGAGAAAAGAAGGCGGTCTAAATAGCAAACAGCTACCTACCGTCTGGGCAGGGTCCCCGTTATTTTTGCCGAATGTTCTTGGGCTTCCGCTTTTTGAACATGACGGCCGGAGCTGACTCCACGGTGGGAGATAACCCCGGTCCATCAGCAGGCTCGTCCTTGATCGGCGGCGAAAGCTCTTGCTTAACTGTCGCCAAAGTAGCCTCCGCCGGTTTTTCCTCCTGACTATCTTCGACCTTGACGTTGGCGTCAGGAGACGCGCCCTCCTCTTTTCTTCGCCTTGACCAGCGGCCCACTGAGTAAAGCGTCGAGCTCAGCATCCTCTTCGGCGGGCATTGTCTTGGAATCGATCCCCCATTTGCGCGGCTTCTTGAAGAGCGCTTGTATGGGCCTCTTCTTGCTCCTTCTCTTCTTCCGTTTGTTCCCTCTCCCGTTTTACTCCGGTCGCGCGGCCCTCTGTCAGACTCGGATCCTTGCCGTCCGCGTCTTGGCCTGCCTCTTCGATGACCCTTGTTGAAGTGACTGTCCACTCGCCCACCATGGCCATGTTGCCCCTCAGCTCGGTCGGGATACTGACACCAAGCTCGGCCAGCTGCTCGAGCTGTTTCTGCCTGTCTGTTTGTGAGGCTTGTTGCGGTGGTGCGCCGTACGCCCCGCCGCTGGGTTTTGTTGCCGACTTGGACGCGCCCGATGCACCGGCGCTGCTCCCGGAGACGACGCCATTGAGCCGGTCGACTTCGCGCTTTGCCCTCTCCTTATCGCGCTCTTTCTGGTCGGCGTTGCGGTGCAGGTCCCGAAGAGAACGCTTGATGGCGCCTTGGTGCTTTCCGGTCGATTCGTGGTTGGCGCGCTCGAGCCCGGTGTCGCGCACAAACACGCTGCAGTGTTTGCACCAGTATTTCGGTGTTGACTTCCAGTATTCAGACATGTTGGTGTTTCTCCTGGATTTATTCGGGCGGGTTGGGGTGGTTGACCGGTTCGAGATGTTGTCGAAAGCCCAGATAAAAATCGAGTTCGAGTTGGGACTGGCCGATTGTGAACCGATCGGGACAGTGGAATCACGCTAGCGGAGCCCCGGGCTGTTCCATCTCCACTGAAGCTCGGGCCCCGCTCGCCCACAGCCTGGAACCTGGGATTTCATAATGCACTTCCATTGACAACTTCAACAGTTTGATTTGATGGAATTGCGAGTTCCAGGACGCAACATGTCACCACCACCATGAGACCACCCACCACACATCATCCAACCAGTGTCAATGCATGGATTTCTCTGCATCCTGCGCAAGCTCATCCCCCACCTGCGCCTAATATCTACTGCTAGTGGTGCCCCTTGAGTTCCCGTACCTGCCTAATAACGCCCCTGGGTCATGGCGCCTCCCAAACCCGGAACGCCCCCAAAAACCAACCCAACGCCGCCACCAAAGCACCGAGCCCAGAGATACCTACCTAGATACGAGAACCCCCACCCGAAAAAACCCTCCACACCAATGCCTCCCCCAGGTAAGGTATAGAAAAACCTCACCCACTCATCACATCGCAACAACCAGCACAGCGACCGCGACCCAAACCCAAGCCCCAACAACCGGAACAACAATCCCACCCCCACTCCCCACCGGCGGCGCCCCCGTCGGAACCGGCACCGGAATCGGCTCGGCAATCGGCGGCACCGTCTCCTCCTCGCCACCGTCGCCGGGAAAGCTGGCCGTCGGCACTGGACCGGTCGGGCCGGGCGTCACTTGCACTTGGCCGTCGGAGATTTGGGAGACGGGGGGGCGGTTGGTTGGCGCGCAGGGCGTGGTGTGTGCTTGGAGTTGGCCTGGCGGGTTGGGTTAGTGGGTGAATGGTGAGGTGGGGAGTTGGGGTTGGGGTTGGGGTTGGTGGCCTGGGTAGGGGGATTGGGGATGGGGTCGGGAATGGGGGTGATGT